TCCGAGCAGGATGGTCTTGAACCATTCCAGAGAGCTCCAGTACTGCTTTGCCTCCACTGGTAGAGAAACATACTTGACAATCTTGATATATACAGAGTGATGGCGAGGAGGTTTGTAGAGCAATGCATGCCATCAGTGCATCACCCCACTGACGTTTCCCTCGTCGTCATCATCATCGTGCTCCTCCTCGTGATCGGGGTCCATGGGTTGCTGGTATGAGCTGAGGTCCATGGCCTCGGGGTCACCCGTCTCAGTGCTGCCTGTGTGGCCATCTCCTGAGTCGGTGGCCTCCTCGAAGGGGTCTGCTGTGGTGACCATAACCTTTGGTCCCATGGGTCGAGAGCTAAGAGGGTTTACCCTCCTGCTGGGGCAGTCTCTGGCCCAATGGCCGATACCCTTGCATACATGACAGGTGTTGATACCTGATGGAGCAGGGCTTCCTTGCTTCGAGGGTTGGGTGGGATGATGAGGAAGGGGTCGGTTTAGGTTTTGTATAGTTGCTTGTGTAGTTGCTTGTGGTGGTGACCGAGCTGGATAAGGTTGAGTGGGTTGTCGGATGGGGATCGAACTTTGATTTGGCCGAGACCCAGTTCTTAGTGGAGGTGATGTGGCGTTTGGGAGTGAGTGTCTAGCCGAGGACTGCTGTAGTAGCATCCTCTGTCGATCGATCTCCTCAACCTCTCGGTACCACTCCCATCTCTTCCCAGGTGGATTCCTCTCGAACTTCTCCTGTATGCTGCGAGTGAGACTTCCTCTGAAGAGATCAATTACTAGCTCGTTGTCATCTAGGTTGACCTGTCCCTCCAAGTCTCTGAACCGCTCTACATGACATGTGGCAGCACCAGGAGCATCACTTGTGAGTCTGAGAGCCAACAGCTTGTTGTATGCCTCCATCCTAGCATTGCGTGGGTTGAACTGTTCTGACAGTCGCTCTGTGAAGTAGTGCCAATCATTGAACAACCTTCCTTCTCTAGCTCTATCAATACGGAGCTTGGAGGTCCACCACTCTCTTGCTGTCCCTTCCAGTTGAGCACCCATGTGGTTGATCATCCTAGTCTGCTCATACACCTGGTTGAACTTAAACCATGCTTCGGCTTCTAGAATGAAGATCTCCATGTCTCGGGGATTGAACTTTGGGAAGGGGGTGGTGATGGGCTTTGACCGGTTAAGCTCTGCCATGATGCTGGTGTCCTCCTCATGGTCCAGGGGGTAAGGGTCCGTCCTAGTCCTGCTGTAGGGGTCCACCTTAGTCTTGACATATCTTGGCCCAGTAGGTGAAGCATACTTCTCATAGTTGATGTCCTCCTGCTCATCTAGGTTGAATGAGACTGATTGTCTTGGTCGTGGAGCTGGAGTAGGAGTTTGTGGGTCTCCTATCATAGACTCATCTCCTCCTCCTGCTTGGTCTTCTGAGTGAGAGAGGTCCATTGTCTCCTCCCTGCTCAGTTGAGCTCGTTGTAATCGTTCCTCTCGATGACCCTGTCTGGTAAGCTCTAGCTGTGCTTCCAATAGAGTGAGTAGTCTATCGAGCTTATTGTTGAGGTCTGGGTCTGTCATGGTGATCATGAGGAGCTGCTTGAACGATCCACTCTAATGTCAGGGGTCTTGCGCCTGAAACCCAGGTTGGTCTGTCGAGATACTCGGTGACTATCAAACTGTGCGACAGCTATTGTTTCGGTATCGGTGACTATCAAGTTGTGCAGTGACAGCAGGTGGCGTTCGTTGTATATACTATCGTAGGTTTCGGCTGACCTCTGGGGACACTCCGTTCAGGGGTAGCTCGGCACGATCAATATCAATGTTATGATGACACCAAGGTCTGGTGTGAGTGTTGATGATGATGAGGTTGATGGTGTTGGTGATGAGATTGGTGATGTCGATGATAATGAGGTTGATGGTGTTGGTGATAAGGTTGGTGGTGTCAACACGAGTGTCCAGTGTGTTGACTTGATGCTTGAAGTGATCCCCGGACCGCAGTGGACTACTGCCTTCGGTTCTATCTTGATCCGGACTGCTAACCTGCTATGGGCACCTTCGGACGTCAGGTAGTGGTGATACAACACACACACTACGATGAGGAGCAACCTTGATAGATTGCTGCTATGCTGACTGAAACTAATGTATACTTATGCTGAAGTGATAACTAGTTATATGGTGAGTAGAGTGGATGAGGATCCACTCGACCTATGATGATGAGAAAGCATGGTTATATACCTCTACTCAGCATCACCAGCGATGCTGCTCCTGCTCTCTCTCTCCAGAGAGTACCTTCTTCATCGAGTACTGCTCAGGGGCCTCTCCTGCTTGGCACCCCTGTGCCTCTTGAGCTGTGTCAACTCCTTCGACACTGCTCCTCCTCCTCATGACCTGGTGTCGACTCCTTCGACACTGCTCCTCCTCCTTTGATCAGTGACAGTTCCTTTGGCTCTTGTCTCTCGAGCCCCTGAGTGGTAACCATCTGCATGCTCCTTGAGCTTGGTCCTCTTCGTGGCTGTGCCTGCTCCTTGAGCTTGGTCCTCCTCGTGGCTGTGCTTGGCCCTCCTTTGTATGTGAGTCCATAGGAGTCCATGGTCTCCATGGAGACTGCATTACGACCATGCTCTCTACTGATCTCGACTAGATCTTCGATACCTGTGCTCCTTCCATATGAACCCATGACCCTCCTGCTTCTTGAGCATCCAGGCCCATGACACCCAATTCCTTGATTTCTGTGCTCCCTTCATATGAGTTGACAGATCTTCCTGCTTCTTGCGCATCCAGCCCCATGACACACCCCATCGCTGATACGATGAGGGAGGGAACATTGTACAAGAGGAAGACACCACTGGATGAAGCAGGGGTCTGACACGAAGATGAGGTCAGGGCCAACAGGTGGGCGCTGATGACATAAGTATGAGAGGGGGGTGTGAGTCACCACTCAGATGAAGTGGGACTGACCCCTAACAAAGATGAAGGCAGCAAGAGGCCCATCCATCTGCAGGAGGCTAGGGAAGCAGTGCCAACGAGTAGCAGCACAAGGATGGATGGGGGGAGTAGCAGGAAGGAGGAGGAGGAGCAGTGTTGTGGGCAACACTACTAGAAAGGTATATAACCATGCTCCCCATCATAGTAAGTGAGTGGATCAGCATCCACTCTACACCATACACTACTAGTCATAGCTTTACACATAAGTATACATTAGTATCCAGTCAGCATGTTGCAATCTCAATAAGATTGCATCCATTGTAGTGCATGTGTTGTATCACTGCTCACTGACATCTGAAGGCAGTTCATAGAAACCTGTGGTCTGGATAATGATAGAACCAAAGGCAGTTGTCCACTGTGGTCTGGGGATCACCTCAAGCATTCAGTTGACACACTGGACACTCATGTCAGTGCTACCAGTCCTCTCACTCACACCAGACCTTTGGTGTCAGGCAATACATCCAAGTTATTGATCATGCTGAGCTACCTCTGGATGGAGTGTCCACAGTGGTTAGTCAAAACCTGCAATAGCAAAGCCATTACTGCATCTTTGAGCAAGAAAAGTGATAGCAACATCTCTACTACATATCTCACCAAGAATCATAATACCACAAGCACTGTCACATATCTCGACAGGATTTGTAATAGACACGGTTCTATTACAGATATCAGGTTTTGGGCGCGCGACCTCTGACATGTTCCTCTGATCCAGCCATCATCCTCCGGGTGGCCAGTGTGGCCCTTTCCCATGACCATGCCGTCATCACCCTCCTGGCCTCGAAGACTGACCCTTTCAGGCTTGGTGTCAAGGTGGTCGCCCCCCTCATGGGTGGGCCTGAGTGCCCATCTCTCACCTCCAACCCTTGCTCTCCCAACCAGCCTCCTCTCCCCTCTTTGGCCTTGGCCCATCCAGAACTGCACCCCTCTCTCACTCTGCCTTTGTCTCAACACTCCAATGGGCAATTGCAGCTTCTGGCCTCTCCCCCTTGGCCTATGCTGGCCACTCCTTCTGCCATGGTGCTGCCACCTGGGCTGCCAGCCTTGGTGCTGATGCCACTACCATTCAGTGTCTTGGCTGGTGGAACTCAGACTGTTTCCAGCACTACATTGACTGCTCAGCCACTGACCATCAGGACCTCTCCATCTCTGCTCTCTACCATCTTTGAGATGGCCCACTCATCCCCCCCACTGCCTTGTGGTGCAATGTGGGTTCTTCCTAAGCCTCTCCAGTTGGCCCCATCCCTGTCGAGACTGCTCTCTGCTGTGCAGGTGGCTCAACCTTTGGCTGGCAGGCTGGGAGCCTTTGAGCCAGTGAGCCACCTCACTGACCTGCAATCTAACAGGACCTTCATATTGTCTTCTGCATTGACCAACTGACCCCCATTTTATGGCCGTGTGAGCCAGGCTGGGATGCGCACAACACGCCCGATGCTTGTTTCAGATCTTCGGTACCTGATGCTTGCTTCAGATCTTCTGTGCAGGATCTTCTGCGCAGACCCTGTGACATCCGGCTAAATTAGGAAATTACCCGATTGCCCTCAAACTTCCACACAGGGTCTGTACATGCATACGAGGAGCATTGAGATATATATATACACTCGGATCATCTTGTACTTAGCACGCACCCATCATCACAATCGACACTTGTGATCATTGACATTTGACGCACGCCCTTCAGCATCCCTGGCCAGCTCCAGGGCAAGTGTTGCTGTATCCAGCTTTTCCTTCCATTCATTTTAGCGAGCCTGATCTCGGGCTCGATCCTTGCCCGATACGCGATAAATACATGGTCTTCTTGCCCGATTTGCAATTGACATCGGCAAAGCGCTTACAGTTGTCTTCCGGACCGAATTTGTGTAACACACACGGACAACAAGGCAGAGAAGCGATTGTCGGTTCGAGCTTCCGTTTGACACAGCTTTCCATCACCACCACCAGCATCACTAACAACAACAGCCAGCACGTCACAACAAAAGGCAGAGATGCTGTAGAACATTTCGCAGCTAGCAAGTAGCACAGAAATCTTTTTCATCACAATGTCTGCTCTACATCAGCGTCGAGCACCCGCCGTTCGCGAGGCATCCACATCTAGCATCGAAGAAGATCGCAAGATTTCTGGTTCCTGGCATCAGTCTGCTTCTCCTTCATCGCCTTGCTCCCCTTCCTTTTCTCTCCCTGCTACTAGCTCTCGACCTCCGCTCAGCGTCAACATCTCTTCGCCCAACACCTCTTCATCCAACACCTCCGACTCCAAAGACAAGAACAACGGCAAACGAGGTCACATCCAAAAGCACGAAAAGATCGAACGCATCGGTCTCCTTCGTGGCTCATCCTACGTCAAATCCACCGACAAAGATTGCGTCCCCCAACACGAGCTGACCACCTCCATCGGACTCCAAGACGATTCCGTTTACGATGCATACCTTCCACCTCCTGTCGCTTTCTTGCGTCGTCTCATCGTAGCAGTCTTGCGCAAGGAAGCGTCGCTACACGAGCGACATCAGAATTTCATGCGTAGACCATGGCTAGATCGATATTTCGTCAACACATCCCTGCTGGGGACGCATAGTTTCTTCCTCGTCTTCTTGCCGATGATCTTCTGGTTGGGAGACCCGAGGTTCGGTCGTGGAATGATCAACGTTTTGGCTTTTGGAGTGTATCTTTCTTCTGCGATCAAGGATCTTTTCTGCCTTCCTCGGCCTTACTCTCCCCCAGTAACGCGTCTAACGGTGGGTACGCATCATTTGGAGTATGGATTCCCATCAACACACTCAACCAACAGTGTCAGCATCGCACTTTACATCTACCTTTGGATTCGAAAACTTCGCCAAATCACCCCTGTAGAATCTATCGGCATCTTCTCCTCTCCACTCTGGGAAGCAGGTCTCTTATTCTACGCAACCAGCGTTGTCTATGGGCGCATCTACGCCGGTATGCATTCGATCATCGACTGTATTGCCGGCTCAGCATTGGGTGCAGCCATCACGGCGGTACAATGGGCATGCTTTGACCAGATCGAAGAGTTTTTCCAGATCAACAGTTGGACTGTTCCAATCGCAGTAATCCCAGCTGGGTTGTTGATGGTTTCGGTTCATCCACAACCAGTCGATGACTGCCCGTGCTTCGAAGACGCCATTGCCTTTATCTCTGTTGCTATGGGCGTAGGTCTAGCGCGATGGAGTGGAATCCGGTTCGGGATCACACTCAATACCGATCCCACCTTGCACCCTTTCCAAGGCCCGAGCGGTGCTTTGGCAGGGTTAGAAACTCGCAGCTTTAACGCAACCAGCATCGACAGAGAGCCTCTAATCCAGATCCCGATCGCGGGGGTGTGGGAGAGATGGATTAAGAATGGTCTAATTATGGTGTTCGGTTTAGTCAACGTGCTATTGTTGAGGGTAATTGTGAAGACGGCGTGTAAAGTGATACTTCCGCCGACGTTCAGGTTGGTGGATGAGTTGATCGGGTTCAGTCTGCCGAGAAGACATTATACACCGGCGAGCGATTATAACAAGATCCCACTGAAGGATCTAAGCGCGGTTCCGTCGGTGATCGATTTGCCCAGTCAAATTATTGTTACTGATGAAAGTGGGAATGAGCAGACGATTCAGTCCCCGCTTACTTCGCCGCTGGGTAGTAGGAGGGCTAGTGCGATTGCGATGGGTGGAGCCGGAGGAGCATCAAGCCCGTCTTCTGTTTCAAGTGCATTGTTGGCGAGGTCACCGATACATTCACCTGTTCTGTCGAGAACTCCGAGTCCGAATCCACTGGAGATGCGACGTGCGTTGGGTGGCGGATCGGCAGTGGGCAAGAGAAAGATTCAATTCACGATTGGTGGCGGAAGTGCGGATGATGCGATCGAGGATACAGTAGCTGAACGAGGGGCTCAGGATCTGCCTATTCCGTTAACGCAAAGCAAGGCACATCCGAACTTTGTAGCGCCTGATGAACAGGTAGCGAAGAATTTGGCAGCTGATATCAAACGTACTACCCCGACCGAGGTGGAGAAAGAGGTCAAACATTATGATGCCGATGGTAAGTTCCCCGCAAACACCCCACTATCTGATCTGATGTGGATGGGGAGAAAACTGACGAGAATCCTTTTTGTTGTGGCGCGGCGATCAACAGTGTTGACCAAAGTGATAGTGTATACCAATATTGGGTTGTTCTCTGCTGGATTGATTCCGGCTTTGTTCGAGAGGTTAGGTCTTTGCTAAGTTGCCTCACGATCAAATACAGACTCGTCTTTCATTCAGCCGCGTCGTTAAAAGTGTGTGTGGAACCATGGATGAAATGCTGTCTATGAGTGCGAGCTTAGTGACGCCAAATCTTTACAACCTTATCCCTGCCCCCACTGGCCACCTTATCAGCAACAAAATCGACACAGTACACTTCATCCGTATGTCCCGGCAAATCCTTCCTAATCTTGAACGTCTTCACCGGATCCCACAACTTCAACGTCGAATCTTTACTCGCGGAAATCAACATTCTCGAATCGCTCGACCAAGCCAACCTATACACCGACGCTACGTGCCCTCTCAGCGTCGCGATAAATTTCCCTGTTCGAGCATCCCAAAGCTTGATGCTGTTGTCGAAAGAAGCAGAAGCGATCTTTTTACCGTCTGGGGAGAACGCGACGTGGTTGACGCTTTTCTGGTGACCGGTAAGACGAGCGATGGGTTTCTTGGGTGTGGAGGCGAAACCGTTGATTTGAGGAGGCCAGAGGAAGAGGGTGTGATCGTCGGATCCGGTGATGATGGTTTCGGGGGTGGAACCGGAGCTGGTGGCTTCGCGGAAACGGTTTAGGGCTGAGGATTTGGCGTCTTCGTCGGAGGGTTGGACGTAGGATGGGGTGATATTGTTGTTGTTGGAGGAGGAGGAGGCTGCTCGACCGGTGTGATCGAAAGGACCGGTACGGAGGATAAAGTCGGTGGAGAGAGCGATGGTGTTGACCCAGTGAGCGTGTTCGTTGAGGTTGCGGATGAGTTTACCTCCATCCGCGGACCAGACTTTCACGGTGCGATCGGAAGAAGCGGTGTAGATGGCTCCCTCGCCTCCCCAACGCACGCAATTGACTGAGGCTGTGTGGCCTCCGAGGATATATTCGCAACGATGGAGGGTGGGGTTCCAGACTCGAACGGTGCCGTCTTTGGAAGAGGATGCAAGGCGAGGATTGGTTGGGTTGAGATGAATAGGTTCCCATGAGAGAGAGGTGATCCATTTGGTGTGTCCACAAAGAGGCTTGCCTTGAGGTGCAGCGTTTCGGGCTGCTCGACGTGCTTTGACGCCCATCTTGGCCGGCTTGCCGTTTGTTTCTCCCTGAGCGGTATCAGCAGCAGTGGTATCGCCGTTCTCTTGCTTCTGCTGTTCTTGCCATTCCTCATCAACCTGCTTAGCCGTTCGGGAAAGCCAACCCTTGCGACCGGTAAAGTTAGGATCAAGTGCTTGCCAAACCCACACTTGACCATCCATTCCGCCGGTAGCGAGTTTGCGTTCGCGACCCTCCCACTCGGCACACAGAACCCAGTTGGAGTGTCCCACGAGCGTGTGCATGGGTGTCTCGGTGTCAAGATCCCAAAGTCGAGCCGTCTTATCACCAGCACCTGTAGCCAGCAGCGAGCCAGTGGGAGAGAAAGTACTGCATAGAATAGGCGAAGCATGACCGCTCATCGTACTCGAGCATCGACTAACAGGTCGAACTTTGAACACAGCTTGCGGCTCAAAGACAACGGTAAGGGTATCTTCCTGACTGAGACCCAGCTTCTTCGCCTGCTGAGCATTGAGAACATCCTGAGTGAGCGAATCGTTGATGGGTAGTCGAGCATTGCTCTTGACCAGCTCCTGCTTTTCCTCTGTATCTACACCTGCGCTTGCTGAGAGCTGTTGGAGGTCGACGTGGAAGGCGTAAGGTAAATCGTCATCGTCATCGTCATCGTCATCGTCGTCGCTCTCTGCCGGGTCGTCTACAGAGCGTTTCTTGGGACCTTGAGCTGCTTTGAGCTGACGTCGAAGCTGGTTAATGATCGCCTGAAGTTCCTTCTGACCTGTTGATGCGGGCAAGTTGATGGTGGGACCGAGCAGGCTTCCATCTTGACCGGACTGGAATTGGATGACAAGGGTCTCTGTTGAGGGACCGAGTTGACCTTGGGCTTGGAGCGAAGAAGCTTCACGAGCAGCTTTTTCGTCGGCGAGACGTTGCCGTTTGGCTGTTCGCTGGGGTATTTGTGTCGCCATAGTTGTATCAAGTGGCCCTGATAAGAGAGGTGGTGTTGGTGTGAGCACAAAGCTGAGCTTCTTGTTTCTTCATGTTGTTCGGTGCCGTGTTTGTTTGTGTGTGGAGAAAATCAAAAATTTCAAGAAGAAAAAGTGAAAATGTCAGGGTCCAGATCGGTTGAAAAGTCCCGATCCCCTGCTCAAAAGCCTGTTTCGGTGAAGGCCGATGCCGATGCCGATGCCGATGCCGATGCCGATATTGCTGCCGATGCCGATGCTTTTTTTCTTTTTCTTTTTCTTTTTTTCTTTTTCTTATTCCTACATATCTCCTTCTCCTTCCTGCAGCAGACGAAATTTTCTGAAATTTGAGAGTGAAGAAGCGAGAGACTTTTTTTTAGCTTTGGGTAACCATCAGCTATCTTAGAGCTCAAGCTTGTTCCATACCATACTATCTCCCTCTGCTCATCACTCATCCACATCTTACCGCATCGACTTGAATAGCTTCAGGAGCTGCCACGGATACAGCTCGGACACACCCTTTTCACTGGCTCACGGCTCGACTGACTCTCCGGCCCTTACGAACACACAGTGCAAGTTCCGCCATCCCAAGGAAAGCAAGCAGTCGGGGATACTGAGCACCGTCTCTGATTCATCTACACAATGGCAGCTGCAAAGGTTGCCTCATCAAAGGCGTCCACTTCGACCCTCCCCAACGGCACACCAACAAAGAAGTCGCCAACAAAGCAAGCAAAGACTGCTAGCACTTCAGTCAATGGCGTTGACGCTTCCGCCTCAGCATCCACTTCCGCAGACGTTTCGACATCTGCTGCATCCGGAAAGTACCTCGATTCATTGACAAAGCACAATGCTGCCTTCACCTCGCTCCTTGACCTCATCCCACCGCAATTCTACCTTACACGCGATGACGTCGACGATCTCGCAGAAGACGGTGCCTCATCCAAGTACATGAAGAACAAACGCAAGAAGGCCAAGTCCGAGATCGAAGCACAGGAGCGCAAAACAAAGCTACGCGAAGCCAAGAAACAGCGTCTTGATCCAGACAACTTTGTCACCGTCACCGATATTCAAGCCGAACGTGCTGCTGCCAAAGCAGCTCGTCAAGCGGCCGAAGCTGACTCGGATCTGGAGATGGATGTTGAAGGCATGGTCTCCGACCAGGACGATGAGGAGGACAACGAGACAAGAGGCGCTGCAGCAGCGGGAGATACAGATGAAGATTTGCAGGATTCGGATGAGGAGGATCTGCTATCTAAGCCTGCTGCTAAGGGCGTTAATGGTGTCGCTGCTCCCGTTGCACCCAAGCCGATCCAGACGGAAGGCGAGCGCAAAGCATCCGTCGAAGCGCTACGAGCCAAACTTCATGCCAAGATCGCCGGTCTGCAACGTAAGCGTGGCCACCTCGACACCATTGAAGATGCTTCCGATGCAGGAAGCAGTGTGATCAGCAGCAAAGACGAGCTTCTCGAGGAACGACGCAGACAGAGGATCGACGCGCGCGAGAAGAAGAAGCAGAAAAAGATGGAAGGGAAAGCAGCGGCAAAAGCTGCCGCCAAAGCTAAGAAAGCTGGCATCGACAATGCTCCCAACGGTACCAAATCCGGCAAGCAGCTCAACATTGGCACCAAGGCACCAGCACTTCTCGTTGCTGAGCCAGGCTACGGTGACAAGCGCAATGGAGCTTCCGGCTCGGGTGCTTCGAACATTGACGTCAACGGTGGATCGCTCAACTTTAACGCACTCGACTTCCAAGCTGTTGGTGCTGCCGGTGCGACGTTGCCTGAGTCTTCAGCAGGCGGCAAAAAGAGCAAGCTTGCTCTACCATCCGATCCCAAAGCAGCTTTGCAGGTGCTTGAGGCGAGAAAGAAGCAAGAAGAGGCACGAAAAGCCAAATTGGCCAACAAGCTTGGCGATGCACCCGAAGCGCTAAACGCAAAGGTTTCCGAGTTGGAAGAGCAGAAGCAGTGGGATAAAGTGCTTGCTTCAGCCACAGGTGTCAAGATTCGTGACGACGAGAAGTTGCTCAAGAAAGCAGCCAAACGCAAGGACAAGCAGAAGGAGAAGTCAGGTATCGCATGGAACGAGCGCAAGCAGGCAGAGGTCAAACAACAGGCGGATAGACAGAAGAAGCGTCAGGATAATATTGCTGCAAGAAAGGCGGCGAAAGGTGGGAAGGGAAAGAAGGCTTCTTCGTCCACCTTGTCCAAGTCTAAGACTCCGAGTGGCAAGAAGCCGTCATTTGGAAAGGCGAGACCTGGCTTTGAGGGTAAGAAGATTGGCAGATCCAAGAAGTGAGCCAAGCCATTAACCTTTCACCACGCTCCTCTGTTCTTACTGTCTTTCACTTGTTCACCATCACAATTGCTCGTGTTCAAAACGGTCTCGATTGCATCTTACTGCCCCTGCATTTCAATACATCCAGCATATTCGGATACAGTCTGAGTCTGTGCTGTTTAGAGTCTCTAGGGCAAAGCATGATCAGCTGAAGGTACAAGCCAGTGAGCTTCTTATTCAGGGTCTGCTTCACCGGCGCGGTGAATACTGTTTTTTTTTTTTTTGTTTTTTTCTTTCTTTTTTTTTTCTCGTGCGATAAGAAGATCTAGAAAGCCCTTTTTTTTCTTTTTTTTTTTTTTTTTTTTTCCCTTTTTTCTCGCCTTTTCCTGTGGAAAATCAGATCAAGCGGCAGAGGCCCCAGAGGAGTGTGGGCAGATCGAGTCACTTTTCAGTGCCAGCAATAGTAGCAGCAGCAGCAACAACCTTGCTTTTGCCCACACCCTAGCACCAACATGCTTTGCAAGACGACAACTTGGAACAGATGTGCGATACAAATGCAGTCACTGCGCTTGTCTGAGAAGATTGAGCTTCAACAGGAGGGATGCTGGCTTGCAGCAGCGCTCGAGCATTTGGTGCGGCCAATTAAATCGCCACGCCGACACTTTCGCTTCTCCTTGCAACTCTTCATCTTTCCATCTTCCTCCCCCCCTCTCTCCACTACAACTGCTACAACGAACAACCTCTCGCTCCTTACACAATCCGACCTTCGCTGTCTGCTCCTTCGATCAAAGCTCTGTAGGTGTTGCAGATCGAGCTCTTTACGACAATCGATCTCAACAAGCTTCACAACCGCTTGTTGACGCAACCCCAAGCTCACATCCTGAGCTTGTCCACACGCTGCATATCACCTGGTCGGTACCAGCTACAACCTCTCTACCCTACTCCGCCGTACACTTCCCCCCAATAGAACAAGGCAGACGCTAGCTTCTGATCTTGAGCGATTGCTTTTCCCTTGAAAAGGCAGCCTCGCTCTTGGTCTGATCGGCGTATCTGCTCCCCTCGCTTCCACCGCCAAAAATGGCATCTACACAGCCATCATCCCAGTCGGCAGCCGAACCCGTGCTGAGGACAAAGACGCCTTCATACCACGCTCCTCCTTCCACCGACCCTCTTACTGGCGCTACCATTCACACTCTTCGTTGCCTTGACACACCCATTCATCTCGGCTACCATCTCACTCCTCACATCGCCAGGACGCTTCTCTCCACCCTACCTTCATCCACCTACGTCCTCATCACCGACCAGAACCTCGAATCGAGATGCAGCGTCACCACCGCTTTCCGTCGCGAGTTCGAAAAGGCCGCTGCAGAACTCAGTCCTTCGCACACCTGGAAGCTTCTCACCAAGGTCATCCCGCCCGGCGAAGCCTCCAAAAGCCGTCAAGGCAAGAATGCCATCGAGGATTGGATGTTTGAGCACCGTGTCACCCGTGATGCTGTTATGCTTGCTGTTGGTGGTGGTGTGATTGGCGATCTTGTGGGATTCGTAGCTGCTACTTTCATGCGTGGTCTCAAGTTTGTTCAGATCCCAACTACGCTCCTTGCTATGGTCGACTCGGCGGTGGGTGGTAAGACCGCGATTGACCACCCGCTGGGAAAGAACTTGATTGGCAGCTTCCACCAACCCAACTACGTCTTTATTGATGCTGCTTGGCTCAAAACCTTGCCAGCCCGCGAGTTCAGTAACGGTATGGCGGAAGTCGTCAAGACCGCTGCTATTTGGGATCCGATCGACTTTGCCAAGCTCGAGTCTAGTGCACCTGCGATTCGATCTGCTGTGCTTGGTCCTTTCGCTAAGCATGCTCCCCTCGATGAGGGCAGGACACTCGATACCCGTACCCAGGCTCAGTCCTTGCTTCTCGATGTCATTCGCGGTTCCGTTGGTGTCAAGGCTCATATTGTTACTATCGACGAGAAGGAAACCGGCCTGCGAAACCTCGTCAACTTTGGCCACACAATTGGTCACGCTATCGAAGCCGTCCTCACACCTGAGATGCTCCACGGTGAGTGCATCTCGATCGGAATGATCCTCGAAGCCGAGGTCGCTCGTTACATGCACGGTCTCAGCCAGGTTGCCATTGGACGTCTCACCCGTTGTCTCAAGGAGTACGACTTGCCTGTCACCCTCTCCGACCCGCGCCTCACCCGTCTTCCCAAGTCGCTCGACGTCACTGTCGACCGTCTCCTCGACATCATGAAAGTTGACAAGAAGAATTCGGGCAGCAACAAGAAGATTGTCCTCCTCAGTTCCATCGGTGACACTGTCGAAGATAAAGCTTCCACCGTCAGCGACGACATCATCCGCCGTGTCCTCTCCCTTGGTGCTACCGTCACACCCATCCTTGAGCAACCCAACAATCCCAAGGTGACCCTCTCGACTCCCGGTTCCAAGTCGATCTCCAACCGTGCTCTCGTTCTTGCTGCTCTTGCCGGCAACACTTGTCGTTTGCGCAACATGCTTCACTCCGACGACACACAGGTCATGATGTCTGGTCTCCATGACTTGCAGGCCGCTCGCTTCGAGTTCGAAGATGGAGGAGAGACTATCGTCGTTCACGGCAATAACGGTGCTCTTCGTCGCCCTGCCAACAGCAAGCAGATCTACCTTCAGAACGCAGGTACTGCAGCTCGATTCATGGCCACTGTCGTCAGCCTCGTTGAGAATGATGGCAACCAAGAACCTGTCGTGATCACCGGTAATAAGCGTATGAAGGAGCGTCCTATCGGTGCGCTTGTTGATGCGCTTCGCTCCAACAGCACCTCGATCGACTACTTGGAGGCTCATGGATGCTTGCCTCTTGCGGTTAAGGGTACCGAGCGCGGTTTCAAGGGCGGCAAGATCCAGCTCTCGGCTACGATCTCTTCGCAGTACGTCTCGTCGATCTTGCTCTGCGCTCCTTATGCGGCTGAGGATGTCGTGTTGGAGCTTGTTGGAGGTCAGGTCATTTCGCAGCTCTACATCGATATGACCATCGCCATGATGGCTACCTTCGGTATCAAGGTCGAGCGTCTGTTGGACCCTGCCACAGGTCGACCTTCCAACACGTACAGGATTCCCAAGGGCCACTACATCTCGCCTGACGTGTACGACATTGAGAGTGATGCTAGCAGTGCTACTTACCCGCTTGCTATTGCTGCTATCACCGGTACCGAATGCACAGTTCCCAACATCGGCTCTGCTTCTCTTCAAGGCGATGCTCGTTTCGCTAAGGAGGTTCTCGAACCGATGGGATGCATTGTTCATCAGACCGCCACTTCGACCACTGTTATCGGGCCTAAGGTTGGTCAGCTTCGTCAGATCGGCTTGGTGGACATGGAGCCCATGACCGATGCCTTCCTCACCGCTTCCGTGCTTCTCGCTGTTTCAGCACAGCCCCCTGCCAACGGCTCTACCTCGACTGCTCGCCCTTCCACCCGCATCACAGGAATCGCCAACCAGCGTGTCAAAGAATGCAATCGTATCCGCGCTATGATGGACGAACTCGCCAAATTCGAGGTCGAAACCAAGGAACACGAAGATGGTCTCGAGATCTTCGGTATCGATTACCGCCAACTCCGATCCAACGTTCGCGTTCACTGCTACGACGACCACCGTGTAGCTATGGCTTTCTCCGTTCTTTCCTCTCTCGCACCGGGTGCGATTTTGGAAGAGAAGCGATGTGTCGAAAAGACTTGGCCGAACTGGTGGGATGATCTGGAACGCAAGCTTGGGATTCGTGCTCATGGTGTTGATCCTGAATGCTCGCCGAGCTTGTGCATTTCTCCTTCGCACTTCAACAAGGCCAGCGTGGCAGGTGCGAATGGGAAGCAGGCTACAATTTTGAGCCAGTTGACCAGTAGCGGGGCGCTGGCGCCGAAGAAGTACGCCAAGGATGCGACTATCTTTTGTATTGGCATGCGTGCGTCGGGAAAGACATTTTTGGGTGCGATTGGTGCAGCTGCGTTGGGAAGAACGTTTGTTGATGCTGATGTTGTCTTTAACCAGAAGCTCGGATCGAAGGATGGGTTGGGTGAGTTCGTGAAACAGCATGGATGGCCCGCGTTCCGACAGAAGGAATTGAAGATTTTGGAAGAGCTCATGCTGCACCATCCCACCGGCCACCTCATTTCGCTCGGTGGAGGAGTAGTCGAAACTGAAGCCTGCCGCAAGCTTCTCGCTGAATACGCTCAGACCAAAGGACCAGTCGTCTACATCGTCCGCGACACGGAAGCCATTGTCAATTTCCTCGCTACCAGCGACCGCCCAGCTTACGGAGAACCCATTATGGACGTCTACCACCGTCGCAACCCATGGTTCAGCGAATGCTCGTCTGTCGAACTCGTCTCTTACTCGGAAGGCGAGAGTATGACGGCACAACCATGTGCAGCCAACGTCCCAGATCCGTCGTTTACAATCCAGAAGCAGTTCGGATTGGAGTCGGAGGTGGCGAGATTCTTCAAGTTCGTCACTGGGCAAGATACTAATCAGGTGGAAGATCTGGTGGTGGATAGCAGGAAGGGAGGGAGGAGGACTTACTTTTTGAGTCTTACTTTCCCGGATGTAGTGCCGAAGTTGGAGTTGATTAGGAGTATGGAGTCTGGTGCGGATGCGTTGGAGTTCCGTGCCGATCTTCTGAACCCGTCAGGTCAGCCAGTGACGACACCTCAAGTTCCACCCAATGACTTTGTGAGGAACCAGTTGGCGGCATTGCGACACCGCACTTCGCTCCCAATCGTGTTCACCGTCCGTACTCATTCGCAGGGAGGTATGTTCCCGGACAACCACCAGAAAGAGTACTTTGACCTGATCAGTCTTGCCCTGCGACACGGTTGCGAGTATATTGATCTCGAGCTTGGCTTCGACGATTCTCTCCTCACCGCCGTAGTGGAAGCTAAGGCAAACAGTCAGATCATTGCCTCCCACCACGACTGGTCCGGAAATCTAGACTGGGAAAGCGATACAACAGCTGCAATCTACACCCGGGCTTGTCAGTTCGGCGATATCGCAAAGATCATCGGCAAAGCGAACTCGATGGAGGACAACTACAGCTTAGAGCGATTCCGAGCTAAGGTTTCTGCTTCAGCAACGAAGCCTTTGCTAGCGGTGAACATGGGTGCTGCCGGGCAGTTCAGTAGGGTCGTGAACCCTGTGTTCACACCGATCACACATGAAACGATGCCAGTTAAAGCCGCTCCTGGACAACTCACCTTCCGACAAATTCAGACTGCATTGGCACTCATCGGTCAAACCACGGCGCTCAAGTTTGCGCTGTTCGGTAGCCCGATCAGTCACAGTTTGAGCCCAGTCCTCCACAATACGGCTTTTGGTGCTTTGGGTTTGCCTCATCACTACGAGCTGTTCGAAACGGCTGAGGTGGACGATGCTATTGCTGCCTATGTTCGCTCGGGTGACTTTGGCGGGGCTAGTGTAACGATCCCCCACAAACTTGCTATTATAAAGTATTTGGATCAGGTCAGTGACGAAGCGAAAGCCATTGGTGCGGTTAACACCGTGATCCCCATCCGCGATGCAGAGGGGAAAGTGACAGCGCTGCTCGGGGATAACACGGACTGGATCGCAATCGAGACTCTGGCCCGACGTTCCCTCCGCACTGTCCACCTTGCAGATCCCAACCTTACCGGTCTTGTCATCGGCGCAGGCGGGTCAGCACGCGCTGCGCTCTTCGCACTCTATCGTCTCGGCGTAAAGAAAATTTTGCTCTTCAACCGAACGCTAGCTAACGCAGAGAACCTAGCCAAGCAGGTTCCTGTGGAGTGGAACGTTCAAGTTCTCACCTCCTTAGACGAGATCGGTTCTCTCCCAGCGGAGCTTGCGCCGTCGGTAGTAGTGTCGAATATCCCTGCTGAAGGTGCGACGTTGGATCCCAACGCCCAGGGACTGATTCATCTTCCGGTGGGGATTTTGAAGAATCCTGCAGGGGGAGTGGTGATTGATATGAGCTATAGGCCTTACAGTACGAGCCTTTTGCAGTTGGCTCAGCAGGTGAATACGGCGGTGGCGGCAGGGAAGAAGTTGTGGTCTGCTATTCCGGGGATTACGATCTTGCTGGAGCAAGGATGCCATCAGTTTTTGCGCTGGTCGGGGAGGGAGGCACCGAGGGAGGAGATTGAGAGGGCTGCTTGGGAGGTTTATCTCCAGCGCTGATCTTGCTTTACTCCAGCGTTGAAAGGTGTTGTCATTCGCAATCAAAGCTCGTTTCTCTTTTCTCGTTTTTCTCTCTCGTGTGTGTTCGATCAGCCAAGTGTTATGTGTGTCATGAATGTCAAGAATTGCTCCACTAGACAAGGGCAATGCTAGAGAGAAAAATCCAAAAGAATGTCCGTTCTTCCCTCTCCCCTTTCTACTGATCAGCAACGCACTCACTCGAATGAAGCGAAGTTGTCTTTGTAACCATCACCAACGGCGCTGGTCTAGTCGGAGGACTGGCTCTAACCGCAAAGGGTCTCCCCACCACCCTTCCTGTTCCTGTTCCTGTTCCTGTTCCTGGGTCTGATCTGAAAAGCCTTGTATCATCGCGCATCGCCGCATCCGCACCTTCCGAGAAGGTTTTCGCATGCCCAACCTCGCCTACTCGCACTGCATGAAGTGAGCTGAACCCGGTAAACCTTCGTTCCCCACCCTGCCAACTTTCATCCTCAGTTTTCCCCGTTTCTTCCATTTGGATATCCTGTTCCATCCCCGAGCGATAAGTGCAGACGGCATTGAAATCGAAGTTCCTCTGCGCCTGTCTCTCCGGATCCGCACTGGGTGAGTAGTCGGAAGTTGCTTTATGCATCGCCGTGCTTACCGCCTGCCTGTAGATCAAATTCGCCAACAACACCGTTGTATACAGCGCTCCACTGAGGAGGTAGATGGGAGTATACCACCCAATAACGCTAGTCGAGAACAAATAGAAGCTGGTTAACGAGAAGGTAGCCAAAACTACCTGTCCTTGTAATGAGTACACTCCCAAGTTGAATAGTACACGCCGGGCGGCATCCATGGAAGTTTGTCGACGGAGAACGATCAACCGAGCAATTGTGGTCAGGGTCGTGCTGATTTCGAGCAAGACAAAGATAATTGCCCATGCAGAAATAATTCCTTTCACCCAATGTCTCGTGCTGGGGTCTAGAAGACGATGTTTGTATCGAACAGCATAAAATGCAGCTCCGAACCAAATCATCAATACAAACTGCGCCGTTATCCCCACTGTCGCCACTGCCACTCCTATCCGGGTAGATTTCTTCCTCACGTCGAACAACTTTGCGATCCTAGCCACGAAATACAACTGTCCTATGGCCCCGGGTATAGCTTGCATCGTGTGGTACAATGGGACGTACCATTCTATTGCGTTTGTGTCGAATCCTACTTTGGAATAGAGGGCGATTAGTGCGCGGTTGTACAGGCATACGAAACCGACGATTGCCAGGGTTAGGTTGCATAGTACGGATATAAGCACGGCTAGTTGGAGTAGGTATGGATCGCGGGATGGTTGCGAACGGGAGCGAAGACCGCCGAATAAGTGGAAGTAGACGAAAAAGAGGGAAGCGTTGGCACCGGCAAACATGCCCATGGCGTAAACGAGGATTTCGGTTGGACCTTCGGCTTTAGCCATGGATGTTGGGAGGAGCGGTGGCGGGTAGGCGTGTGCGTATAGACCGTAGGGGTCTGGTTTGCTGGGAGCTGCGCCCATCTTGTTTCCTCAGCCCTGGTTAAGAAATGTGTGTATGTGTGTCGACACAAAGCGATGTGGTGGTGGAGAGGAAGGTGGAGTTAGAGATCGTGGTTAGAGGTAGGGTTCGGAATGGGGAGGAAGCGAGGGTGGGTTGGAGAGCTTTTCAAGCTGGTACATATACTCCTTGTTCGCTGAGGGTGGGGCGGCAGGGAGGCGGAGAAAAGAGGGAGCAGGGCTGAGGTTAGGAACTGGATGATAAAGTTCGCGTTGGCAGGTTCGCTTCACTTTTGGGATGATGTCCACTTGTTCTGCGATTGTGTCTGGCCATCGCAGCCCACTCCAGCTCAACGTCGCCCACACTGCGCCTCCTAACTCACTCTCTTCCCTTCCTCTGAAGCACACACTCATGACGCACCCTTCCGCGCTCGCTCGGTCTTCTTGCTTGGCTTACCTAGGGCACGGGGGGTTCAATCCCATACTGAGTTTCCGACTATGCAGTGCTAGACTCTTTCACATCCTACGCCGAAGCTAAAAAAGAAGTTACTGCACATACCCAGGTCTAATACGTTGGCCGGAACACTTCTAGCCGCGGGACTGGTGTTACTTCGGATTGCGTTTCCGTATCAAACCTTGTCTAACCCCAGTCTCAGTGGGCTTGACGAGGTGTGAACAATAGCGTTGTAAGGCACCTAGGCTGTACTCCGGATTCTATGCTTGCTTGCTTTGATAAACAATAGCTATTGTGTGGCTGCAAAGGCGCATTGTTTGACATCTTTTTTGCAACGACGAACGCTAAAGATTGGAATCTACAGTAAGGTGGCGTTGTCGGACTGACGCACAACCTTTCCTCAAGCACATGAGAGCCGATTTTACTGCAATACGGTCTGTGCTGTGCTTCCATTCCCAGGCGGAAGCTAACACAATGCGCTCGAACCTCTTCGGTTGTCAAGTACGAATTAGACACGGGAGCCAAGACGACGCGCAATTGATGAAGCCACTGCATACAGAGTGCGATAATGTTTGGGCTGGTATATGTAGCGTGCTGCTCACTGGCCCTCGTTCTGTAGTGTTGCACGGTGACAAGTAGCATCGGGATCGAATCCATTCTTTCGTGTCTGCGGGTGAAGCACGCAGCTCTCTCGTGCAAGGACCTTTCTGTGAGTGGTAACAGAAAGCACCAACGTCGCTAATGGCGCGTAGAAGGCGGATCGAAGAGATCTGCGGGAAATATTTAGTGTCGATACATCCAAGCTTTCCTTCTAGTTGTTCTTGGTGATCTTCCGACGTTAGTGGTAGAATTCCTCTTTAGAGCTAGCTAGGTTTGCTTAGGGTCAGGGAGGGCTCTTATTCTATTTCCTCTACCTGAACCCTTAAAGAGGATTGCACGGGGAGAGTCGTAGCATGAACGATGTCGATTGATGCTTGTCGACTGATGTTAAATTCAGGTGCATTTTTGTGCCTCATTTTTGTTGTACTTTTTCCAACCGCCAAAATCCTTTTCTATGTTGATTATCTGCAAGCTCAGCAGCATACACTTTCGGGGCCTGCCAAGCCACCTCCTTGTATTCTCCCTATCTCCTCTTTTGGAGGCTTCATCTTTGAGCTTCCACCAGCTCTAGCCGAGCAGAAGAATAGGGACAAGTCGACAAGCCTGGGCGTCACGTCGTCGGCGAATTCCCTGCAAAAACACACACGAGGTGGAGGCCGCAGGCTGACACACCAACACTTTCTATGCACACATGGCCTGTCAACTTGCGCCTCACGTCACACCTCACTCATCACGCGTTTCTCTCTTCTCTCTTCTCTCTTCTCTCTTCCCTCCCCCTTCCCAGTTCGGAGGTGCAGGATTCGGGTTAGAGCTTGCTTGCGTGGAGATCGACGTTGGTGCGTGATGCGTTCACAAAAAGAAGGAGAGCGAGAGAAGCAGGGAAAGGTCAGATCCAGGGTCCAATGGTGTCAGGCAAGTGCGTGTACCGCAAGAAGAATGTGTGTGTATATGAGAGAGCGTTGCGTCACCAACCCGCACAAGCGAGTGGCACATGACTTTTTGCTTCAAAGTGAGGCTTGATCCTCTTCTTCAGGTGCTGGTGGTCAGAAGATATATAAGGCCGGCCATAAACCTTGTTTGTCCGTCATCGACCATAACTGCATAGCATTCTCTGTAACTCTCTTCAACTTGGCATTCGAAGAGATCTTCATTTCACGACTTCCAACACTACCACTTACCACCCACAACTGATCATCGAAAATGGCAGGCGGCGGAGCAGTCAACCGAGGCCCCCACACTGGATCTGGCACTGAAGCATCCTTGACCGACCTCAACGGACCGCAACGCAAATCCCTCCTCTCCAACTTGGATTTCTCCGAGATCGCTCGACTTCAAATCCCGCCTGCATCCGGTATCTCCGACTATGCTATCTTCGACCGTGACGATTGTCTCGCCGTTCAAGGCTCCCTCCCTACCTTCACCAAGTCTTTTGGCCCTGAAGAAATCCGTCAGTTGGTCGACGTCTTCGTCCAAGCCACTGCTCCCAGCGTCACCGAGGAGGAACTCAAGAAGAACAACCGAGAGATTGAACTAGCTGGCAAAAAGTTCACCATCTCCGGTCCAAGGGGAGCTCAGTACCCGTTGGAGATAGCAACTCTGCATGAGCAGGGAAAGGAGGAGGGTGACGTGTTGTTCGTTGCTACTACGGCTACTTTGTTGGTGGTGTTCAAGGCGGCGGAAGGGGCAAATGTTCAAGTCAAGACGAATGAGAAGGAGGGTGTTTGGACTGCGATTAGAAGCTTTGCTTTTGCGTTGAGTGAGAAGGGTCTCTAAACTCCATACACATTCATCTACAATGCCGCATCCCAAGCACATCTGCTCATCAAAGTATCAATGATATCAAGCAAGCATGAGGTTTGGCAATGACAGTGACTGTATTTTGCATGATGGTGACAAGTAGACAATGACAATGATTTGAAGCATCAAGTGTAAGAAGCACGAGTCTAAGCAAGGATAGCTCGATCAAGACCTGCCCAGATGTTGATCTCGCCCGCTGCACCACCAGCAGCAGGCTGAACAAGGATGGAAAGCCCAACATCCTCAGCATCGGGATAAACACGGGTAGAAAGTGCAACGAGATCATCGGCAAAGATCTCAAGCACCGAGTTGTCCATGAACAGCCTCAACTTGTGACTGCCGCTCTGTGTCGACGAGACGGGAGCGTAGAGGGTTGAAGTGTTGACCTTGATGTCCTTTGCGATGACCGATGTTTTGCCTGCAGAGTGTGTGCGATCGACAACGAGCTGACCATGGTCGGAAATGTAGATGAGGGTGCGAGTGTAAAGGTCGTCACTGTGAGCAACTACGATCCCTGGTTGAGCTGGAGTCAAATCCATTTCGATCTCATAGGATCGGCTGGCAACCGCCTCGACCTTTGCTGCGGCTAACTCCGTCGCACCACCCATCGCAGCTTCTATCAGTTCGATCAGAGTGGTTGGTTCCAAATCTTGAGTAGAAAGAGCGATGTGCTGTGCACCCTGACGCAGCTTGAAGACCTCCTCAGCAGGCCTAATGCCCAACTCGCTCGAAGTAGGATGATGGAACATTTCTCTCGGTAACGAGATCAATCCAGCCCAACCTTGGGTATTGTAGTAATCCTCTGGCAAATCATCCTCAGTAATCCAACCCCACACGATCCTACGATCGTGCTTCTCGTCATGAAAGCTACTAGCAGCATAGAGACAACCATGATCGAGCAACCCAACATGGCCAGGCTGCAATCGGATCCCATCCGGCTGCTGCATCTGAGTTGCTTCGAGATCCAGCTTGATATAGACAGGTGCACGTGCCGGTCCAGGCTCAGTACATCCCTCAACATTAATCAAAAGATATTCAGCCTCTGCCGAGGAGTGAGGATCGGGGATGGCGAAAAAGTTGGCAACTTCCCAGTTTTTCCCGAGATCGACACCGTAAGGAGCAGCTTTGTGGTTGGGACCCACGTCAGCTAGTGTGCCGATGTAAGTCCATTGGCTGAGATCGGTAGGGTTGATGGAATAAGCAAAGATGGTGGGTGTCGTATCTCGAATTCCGCCTGCGATGAGTGCGTACAGCCCAGGATTGCCTTCCCGACCCAGAAGGCTATCGAGCAAGGGCCAGGGAGCGGTATAAGGATCACGCCAAGAAATGACGTCGAGATGCTCTGGTGGACCATTGAGCACTACACCTTGTGGAATCCAGGTCTCGCCTCCATCAGAAGAGGTGGAGAGGACGACTTTTTCACTTCCGTAGTTGTAAGGTAGGGTGTGATGGATGGGGAGCTGGGAGACGGCAGTGTAAATGGCGGTCATTTCGCCTGTCTCGGCTGCTTCTTCGGCTGTTCCAAGCGGTGAACGTTGGAGGACGCAACCGGTAAAGATTCCTTCGTGGTCGCTGTTGCCGCCAGGGACGATGACAGGTCGTGGACGCGAAGTCCAGTGAATCATGTCTAGACTGTACGCATGTCCCCAGCAGATGCTGCCCCACGTGGAGGCATTTGGATTCCACTGATACCAGAGATGGTAGAGACCTGTACGTGAGTCATAAGAGGGACCGCAAGGATCGTTCATCCATCCATGCGGGCCGAGGAGGTGCGAAGTTGGTCTCCATTGGTCAAAGAGTGCTTTGGGCTCTTCCGATGTGGTGGCTGTAGTTGATGCTGCGTTGTTTTTAAGCATATCTGCTTCTTCGAGCTCTTCGAGTGGAGAGCAAGCGTTGGAAGAGGCAGGAGTAGAAGCGATCAGTGCGCTGGGAGAAGCTGGGGAAGAAGGAGCAAAAGCAGCAGCAAAGCCAGATGTAGCGGGTGATGCAGTACCAGAGAATTCCGACTCGGTGGATGGAAGACTGTCTTGCATTGGGGTCGAAGGCAATTGCGGCAGATCTAATTGGTTTGGTCGCACGCCATTCTGTTGCGCAGAAGACTTGAAACCTAGCGTGGCTTTGTGAGGAAGGTAAATATCTTTGCCGGAGGCGGGTTCGGAAACAGGCGGCTGCGCTGAGTCTGCAAAAGCAAGGGAATCTTGAGTTGAAGCGGGTGACATTTGCGGCAATAGGTGGGATGCCTTGCTGCTGTGATTCGCCGACGAGGGCTACTGTACAGCCAGGCTGAGAGATGGGTGGATCCGAGAAACGAAGCCGACTAGGAGCGAAACTGTGCCAAGACGTCAAAGCAGCAAGTGGATTGGGTAATATGGATGTCTTTGGTTGCCGGGTGTGTGACGGATGCAGACTTTCGTAAGCCGGTGCCGCGAATAAGCTCGCGGCGAGAGGAGATAAGATTGAGATAGAGGAAGAGGCGGAGGAGATGCCGTTTGCGATGGCTAAGTGGGAAGTCGAGCTTGAGCTTGAATGGGATGATAAACGGAAGCACGGGCTTGGAAGGTAGAGTTTGAATGAAATGAGCTTGTTTGAGCAAAGCTTAGATACCGTGATGCATGTGACGGAGAATGTGGCGGTAATGAGTCGGTGATTAGCACAAAGGAGCTTCGAGGAATGACGATGCAATGCTGCAGACGTTGCGCAGGCCCAAGAAGATGCAAGGTAGAAGAGATTGCCGAGACTGTGGTGAGGGTTCCGTTTAATACGCTGACGGCCGTATCGGCGAGGAGCAAGGGAGAGATTTGTTGATGTGGGCTGTTGCAAAGAGCTGCTATCGTGGCGAGGCTGCAAAGTAATGAGAGATGGTGCTGGCTTGCCGTGGCGTGGCGCAGAGATGAGAGGCTTGCGAGCCGTGTCGGTGGCGAAGGAGACGGCGTAGATGAAACAGGGATTTCTCTCTCTCTCTCTCTCTCAGCAATGCTGTTTTGCTCCAACGAATGATCCGAAGCAGGGATGTCTTTGTACGACCGTTGAGAGGACGTGTAATGGTGTCAGGAAGGTAGAGATGGTGGTAGGTGTCGCAAGATCAGCAACGCTTGAGGTTGGAGAGGTAGCCTTGATGATAAAACGGGAAGAGAGGGGGATGAGCTCGTGGCGATAGGAAAAGGAAAAGGCAAAGGCAAAAGCGAGGCTGGCAATGGAATCCATGCGAATGGCAGTCAAGGATGGACCTTCGTCTTGATACCTCCAACTCGTCGTTGAGTCTCGGCGGGACGGCGAAATCCAATTCTGCACAAACGCACCGACGAGAAAGCGAAATCTACACCGAGCAAAAGCCGTCACCTCCCAACCAAAAAGTTCCTGCTGAGATGGACAAGGCAGCTAGCTGACGTCAAGCATTTCCCGAGCTAATATCGAGATGATAGCGAGACTGAGGGCCGGGCTCATCTCGGTCGTCTATCGGCTGTTGTGCCTTGCTCAGCAACGCAACTCTCTATGCCGTAGCGTATCCGCGGTGATTGCCTTTTCGCTCGAGCTCTTCGGCGAGAATCGCTGCGGAGTGTCTCTGGCGAGGTCTACTGCTTGGCCTAGTCCTTGAACATATCTGTGCTGAAGGAAACGATCCAATATGATGATGCGAGTTGACGTAAGCGGATACGATAAGTAATCGGGCAAAGCCGATCTGATCGGAGATCAGGTAAAGCCGATAGAAGTGAGGGATCGGGTACAACTACGTCCCGCTCGTTGTCATGCTTGGTCATTAAGGGGAATGCTCCCACATTTGGTATCTGCCGCACCTTTGTATATATATCTAGCGGGGAGCTCGAGGCTCCCGCCACATTCTTTCCTCAGTCAATCGAGTATATTTGTTTCTGTCTAAAACTAGCAGTGACATCGTACTGAGACTCTACCCGATCGCCAGTTATCGGGACCAAACTTCAACAATCTGTTGCTCAGGGCAGAAAAGTGCGCGATACTCCCGTGTGTCAAGAATGGACGGATGAAGAGGACAAGTCGCTGGAGGAACCACTGTTCGAGACGTAACATGAGAGCGTAAAAAATAACAGATATCGGGCAAACAATAGGACTCTATCGCTCGATATCCCGATGCTTTACCATCGGTATCAATTCGCCCCGACTCGCTCGGATCCCGATGTTCTTCGTTCGCCTGATTCCATCGGCTGCCCATCCATGCCGAGGGCGGGCTACCTTTATGGTATTAGTTGACCGCCACTGGCGATTCATGTTGCTAAGCGTAGCCGCGAGCCGTACGAGTGGGGCCGATCCGTCCACAACTTCTTTTAGCATGTCTTGGTTCTCTGCTTCTTCTGCCTGTGCAACGATTACAGTATCATTGCGGTCCAAAGCGACGACGATCCTTGCAGCCAAATGAATGCATCTCTGCCGTCATCTTGCTTTTGTTGTTGTATTCTCTTCATAGGCCGCTTCTCCGCCTCGACCGGCATTGGAGAGACATGCGATGGCATCACCAATTGGATACTAATATCCCAGCTCAATCACCATTCGACTGAAACCTTGCTGAGGCCCCGTCGTCTGTGTGTGTTTGTATTGTATTGCCATTCTCCATCGTTTTTTTTCCGTCTTCGGATTCCGCAAAGGCGCTGACGAGCCTCCAGCTCTGCTCTTTACTGTGACCTGCATTCTCAGCGTCATCAGTCACACATCTCTCGCCCTTCTCGACTGGATTCGGCCTGCAACCCTTGCTCATCTTTCCTTTCCTACAATTCCATTCACGGTTCACTCCACCATCTCCTTCGACCACTAGCAAATGCAAGTCAGCATACCCGTCCGACTCTTGGATCCTCCATCCAGCTCAGGATCGAATCTGCAATACCCCTTCCTCGGTCCATACCACATACCACAGCCCACATCATTCTCATCCACACCATTCTCATCCACACCATTCTCATCCACACCATTCTCATCCACACCATTCTCATCCACACCATTCTCATCCACACCATTCTCATCCACACCATCAAATCATCGTTGCCCATCATGTCAATGGCACCACAAGCAATCCATTCCAACCTCTCGCGGCCACATCCTACCGACTCTCGCTTGCTCCAGAACCTGATCAAGGGGGAGAAGATCTATATCGACAACCTTGCCGCCTCGTCCCATTCAGGTTACGCTGCTGCTAGTGCGTTGGCCGCATGGGGTACTTCCGAGGCGCCGGACATCTCGAAAGCATCCCAGACTCTTTCTGAGATCCTGGCATCGGCCGCTGACGCACAACGCACTCATGTTCAGGCTCTCGAAGGCTACCGCAGTGCGCTCAAGGATGTGCTTGACCGTGAACATAGCATCCGCTCTGTCGTGCGTGATCGCGACATTCTTGTCGGTCGTCTGATCAAGGCGAGCAAGAAAAAGGTTTCCAAGAAGGACTCGGGTCTCAGCCAAGATGAAAAGATGGAGAAAGTCAATGCTGCACAGCGTGAGCTGCATGCTTGCGAACAAGTGCTTGCCAGCGAAGAAGCTGCTCTCGTTGGTGTTAAGCGACGCACCTTCAAGGAGGCCCTTACAATGCGTATGAAGACCATGGGCGATGCAGGTGCTGCTATGGTCGACGCTGCAAAAGAGGCCATTCTCTTGCTAGACGAGTTCGACACGCACGGACCCTTGCTTCAAGCTACTGGAGGTGGTCAGTACGAAAGCATGTACGCCGATGACGGTGTCGAGACCGGTGCCTACGACAACCAGGCTCTCGACCAGGCCTACTATGGTGGACAGCAACAGCCTCAAGGCATGCCAGACCAAATGCAGGCCGACAAGTACGGTTCGCCTATCGCAGCCAACGGTACCAACCTCACTCGCGACGAGCAGGGACGTTTCCACAAACACCTTCAGGGTAAGTCCACAATCTGTCTCGCTCATTTCCTTTCCTCTACTCTCATCGAACGACGAGCTTCCAACGTCAGGCGGTCTAGCTCGAAGCTGCACCATCCCCATCTCTTGCTTTCGGCGCACAAGCTCGGATGGTATCCGCAGTTGGATCGACCGATGAGAGAAAGAGCATTCTGAATCGCCCGATCCAAGCTTCGATTGAGAAACAGTCGACTGACGCTACTTTTTGGGTTTTCCCCACTTTGACTGCTCTCGCGCCCCAATCTCTGCACGGACACCCTCTCGATTTTCGATCGAAATTCGGCCTACGCTGATCCGCGCCTTTTTCTTCTCCCGCCGTGCCCCGCTTGTCATCATTTCCTCCACTTCACACCTCACATCCACCCTTGCGCTATTGGATGAATTTGGCTCCGCTCGATCTTTCGACCACCATCCACCTCTTTCGCTGTCCCATACAATCCCTCCGTTCCATGCTACCTTTACATTCGCCATAATGGGGACTCGCGCCGTACGCATCTGCCTGCATTGACCTCCCCCTTTTCCCTCAAACAGGCCCACACCTCGACTCTCGCAACCCTCAGCACTTTGACGGCGCCTCAGTCACTCCTTCTCAATCTGCCAGCCAAGTCATCGACCACGACCGCTCCCATGTCCCGCTAGGTCAGCGCTACACTTCGCAGTTTGAAGACGTAGAGGAGCAAGAAGGCATCCCTTCCGACACCGACAGCGAAGAGGACTACCGACGTGCTTTCATCGAGCCTCGCATGCGCATGCCCGCTCCGCATGAACTCGGCCTAGCAGCAGACACTCACCACTCGTTCATCCCAGAAGGTCAAGCCGGTCAGCGCGGTGCCAACGGCGCCGCGCCCCCTCCTCCTCCACGCAAAGACGACGGCGCCTCCCAAGTGCCTATGCCCCCTATGCCCTCGGCTCCTGCCTTTGACGTCAATCAGGCAGGTGAATACGACCAGAGTCAAAACGCCGACCAAGGCTACAATCCCAATAACACTCAGTACAGCTCTCCTCGCTACTCCATGTCGCGACGCAGCGGTGACTCCGAAGGTGGCTACGGCCACAAGCGCAAGTCGAGCAACTCATTGATCGGCAAGATGAGTCGTCTCTTCAAGACTGACATTCACAATGACGCACCTGATTCGGACCAACGTCCAGGCTGGAACACGCGCATTGCAGGCAATGTTGAACAAGGCGAGCGACGTCGTAGTGGTTTCTTCCGACCAAGTGAGCCTGACAGCTCCGATGAAGAGCCCGACACTCGCCAAGTCTTCCGCAATGTCAACCAACAACGTCCCGGCTATCCTGCCATTGGTGGCAAGGGCAAGCTCTCGTCCGGCTCTCGCATCCTTCCTGGGCCCCAGAGCAACCGTATCCATGACGCCGAACAAGCCGAGATCGACCGCATTCGCGCCTCTGTCGTTGGTGGTGGTATTGGCTCCTCTATCAAGCAACCTGCAGCTGGCGAAGCCGACAGCATTCGCTCCACGACGACTGGCACCAAGAAGAAGAAGAAGAAGAAGAAGCGTCCCGTTGCCGGCAGCGAGATTGGTACCGCACCCACTCGTCCATCGGCTAGCTACACCATCTCGGGCGACCTTTCGTCCTTGCGAGGCAACAGTTCAGCTGACCCTCCCGGCCTCTCGAGAAGTTCCACGATGAAGTCGACCAGCTCCAAGAAGAAGAACCGCGCCAGCACCGCTAGCTCAGGTCTGATTGGCGGTAACGTCTTCAGCCCCAACGCTGGCAAGTACGGTGCTGATTCTTGGATCAAGAAGCCTGCCAGTCAAATGACCGCGTACGAAGCTGTCGCTATGGCTGGTGTCGTGCCCAAGTCTGCCGCGCCCAAGGACAAGCCCGCTTCGACGACAACGACTACCCCTGCTGCTGTTCCATCCGGCTCTCTCTCGCCAACTACTGCTGGTGCGGCAGCGGGTAACGCCTCGCGGCCTGCTTCCGTCATGTCCGGATCAGCTGGCAAGAGCGCACCTCTCAAGTCGGCGCTCAAGACACCCACTCTAAGCCGTGCCAACAGCACCTCTAGCGCTAAGGACCTTTCGAAGTCGCCCAAGAAGGCATCTGGATCGTCGAACGCAGCTACGGTAGCTGCCCCAGGCCTCCCTGCCAAGTCCGCTCTCCGCAATGATATCACTCAGAGCATTCGAGCTGAACCTTTGCCTCAGCCCAAGATGGAGCCTATCCCCAAGGCACCGGCGCCCGTCACTTCCCAGCCTTTGCCTGAGACTGTGGCTTCTCAGCCAGCTCCTGCTGTTCAAGCCGCTCCAGTCCAGGCGGCTCCTCAAGCTCAGGCAGCGCCTGTTGCTTCGCAGCCAGCGGCCGCAACTTCGGCTCCGGCTGCAAGTGCCGCTGTTACTGCTCCTGCCACTGAGACTGCCGATCCAGCTGCCGCACCTCAGGCTGCTGGCGAAGCCGTCCCCAAAGCACCACAGTCCGTGCTCAGTATTGAGGAGGACAAGGGCTTCGATGGTACTGGCCGTCTCGATCTGTCTACCGACGGCGCAGCATCTGCGGCGACACAGATAAACACGGCCCCACAGGCCAAGGCGCAAATGCCCAAGCTCGACATGCCCAGCTCGGAACCCTTCTCGATCTCGTTCGACGGTGTCAACAAGGTCGACGGCGCTCGTCGTGGATCTGCTGTGACCATGGCAAGCAACGCTGAGGACGGTGTCGTAACTCCCGGAGCTGAACAGACTTACAAGGCATTCATCCAGGAGCACGGTCAATCTCCCTCCATCGAGCGCTCAGGTGAAGCTACACCCATCGGTACCAAGTCTCAGCCCAACGGTGTTACTCGCCTCACCGACCGCAAGGTCAAGCTTGAGCCCAGCCGTGTCTACGGTGCTGGTGGACCAGAGTTGAGCGACACTTCGTCAGAAGAGGGATCAGCTGTTCAAGCTGCCGAGAAGAACAGCAAGCAGGCTGAAGGCGGTGCACAGAAGGCCGCTCAGGTGCAAGCCTCGTCCGCTCTGGCTGATCCTACCCACCAGCCTGATCCCAGCTTGCAGAGCCTCTCCAGCGCTCCTGTCACCAGCGACGCTTCCGCTCCAGCCCTGTCTGGCACCCCGGCAGCCCCTGCGAAGGCTCTCAACCTTGCCGCCTTGGCTGTGCCCAACAAAGCCCCCAGCGAGACTGACAGCGTTGTCGCCCGTCGCAAGAGCGTCCGTATGGCACCTGACACCAAGCTCCCACCTGACACTCCTACCGATGGCGGCGACTTTGAAACTCCCCGAGGCAACGAACACGGCGGCCAGGACCCACTTGCCGCGCGTGGTTCGCAGTTGAGAAACCGGATCGCTCCTCTTCCCTCTGCTCCTACTAAGCCGACCAAGGAGCCAGGTCCGATTGACCTCGGTGCGGGTCGACAGCCGACCGGCTGGACCAGCCGTGTTCGTAACAATGCCGACAGCAGTGATGACGAGGACGCTGACGAAGATGGTTATTCGAGCGCACGCAAGGCGTTTGGCTCTGCCACGAGAGGATGGGGTGAGGCGATGGGTACGAGCAAGCCCAAGAAGAAGGCTGGTGATGCTGGGTCGGTGAGGTCGAAGGTTTCGACCAAGTCGAAGAAGGGTGCGGCGGCGGGGAAGCGAGGTTCTGAGGTTGGCGGTGGTAGTGCGGTTGCTACTCCGGCTGCTCCTCAGCCTTCGATTGGATACGTGCCTACTGCGCCTGGATCGATCTCGTCAACGCTGTATACGGCGAAGGCACCTGGCTCGTCGGTTGGGGCTGGTGCAAGTGCTCCTCCTCCTTCGAGCTCGATGTATTCTGTCACTGCTCCAGGCTCGGTTGTGAGCGGAAGCGTCGTTCCTCCCTCCACCTCCACCGCTCCCGCTTCTACTCCTGCAGCGACTACCATTCCCCAGGCTCCAGCTCAAGCCCCTGCCCCATTGACTGCATCCAACTTGAACACGTTGGACAGCAACAAAGATCGTCCCAACATGCCTCCTGTCCCCGTCGCTCCTCCTGCTCAGGGACAGAGCACGATCAGCGTCCCCACTGCCCCGCCTCCCGCTGTTTCGGGGAAGGTAAGCAGCTCAGGTGGAAAAGGCTTCTTTCGAAGGTTCAAGCGTAATAAGTAAAAGGCTTCTTTAATTGACGTCTCTCTCTCACACACACACACACACACACTCACTCACTCACACACACTCACTTTGGTTCTCGTTCGTTTGGAAGGATCTCTTCACTCTCATTTCGTTTTGTTCTATATGTGCGGCCTAAAACATAAGAGGAAGGTCGGAAATGAGAAAGTGTCTATGAGAGTGCGATGCGTGTGTAAGCCGTGGAAAAGCGATGAACTTGCTACGAACGATGGAAGAGGAAGAGGGGATTTGGTCGGTCCATTCTTTAGCAATTGCAGTTTTCCTTCGCAACCCCAAGCCCATATCCAACATATCCTTGCGAATTTGTCAATGAGATATTCCCTCGGCTGCTATCCGCTGCATGAGCTGCCGGAACACCTCCCGGCATCCTATCTCCTGGTCTCCTCTCTCCCGGCGCTGTCTTTTGCCACAACGACGGAGTAGAAATAATCCTATTCACCAATTCATCAAACGCTCCATTCACTCCCACTCCCTTCTTCGCGCTACACTCTACAAACAAACATCCCATCTTATCCGCAAATCCCTGCCCTTCCTCTGTTGTCACTACTCTCGAAAACTCCTTATCCACCTTATTCCCCACAATGATCTTCACCACGTCCTCACTCGTAGTAAACGTTTCCAACTCGTTGAACCAGGTGGGGAGAGCATCGAACGTGTCTCGTTGTGTAACGTCGTATGCGATGATAACACCTTGTGCTCCACGGTAGTAGCTGGAAGTGAGAGTTCGGAAACGTTCTTGGCCTGCTGTGTCCCAGATGGAAAGTTTGAACCGTTTGCCGCCAACTTCAATGCCTTTGATACGATAGTCTACACCGATGGTTGCGGTTGTTTCTTCAGGTGAGAGGAATTCGTCATCGGTGAAACGGAGAAGGAGGGAAGATTTGCCGACGGATGATGCTCCAATGAGGAGGATCTTGAGCGTGGGGATGTCAGAGGATGACATCTTGGGTACAAAGGCGCTCTTCGACAATGCGAAGGCGGATGGTGCTGGATAGGAGTCGTGGGTTGTATGAAGCCGTGTGCAGATGGCGAGATGAGGACGAGCGCTTCAATGGTCAAAGCGTGACCTATGGTCCTATCAGCGAGATTGAGGAGAATGGTGGTGGTAGAAGGATGAGCTGGTGTTGGTCTGGATGGCGAGAAAGTATAATCGATGCTCAGTTGGAGAGGAAAAGAGGAGAAAGTTGCATTGCATGTGAGTGTCAGTCAGGGTTTGGCAGGTTACTTTTCTGGGAAGGGCGAAAGCGGCTGCCACAGAGCGTGAGTGAGTGAGTGAGTGAGTGAGTGAGGTCACAGCTGAAAGCACACTCGAATGTGGAGGGCCAAATCTGAATCTGTTCAATATAGAGCTCTAACACACCGTTATCGTCGTTAGTCGTACGAGTCAGCTCACGTGATCATTCGAGCTTTCATTTCTCTTTGGTGGCTAGAAACAAGCGAAAAATTCAGGCCGCAGTCGGCTGAGCCTTTCAATAAGCAGAGATTTTTTCTTTGTTGCCTTGGCTCTACCTCCTTTTTATCCTTCAACCTCCTATCCATCACTCAAACACCTCAATATACCCGACCTCTTTTCGTCATCTGCGAAAGGCCACAAACGCATTTGCACACCATCGAGCCGTTTTCAGACACTGGATCAGCTCCAAACTTTGCATCGGAGCTGGTCTCGATCTGGGCATTCGCAACGCTTTTAAAGCTTACTTAACATCACTAGGTGACGACCTCTAGCCGTAAAACTAAAGCATCATGCCGAAGGCTTTTTATGACGAGGTTGAGCTCGAGGACATGTCCTATGATGAGGAGAAGGACCTCTTTCACTACCCTTGTCCTTGCGGTGACCGGTTCGAGATCACACGTCAGCAGCTCAAGGATGCCGAAGACGTGGCAAGATGTCCTGGCTGCTCTTTGATCATTCGAGTCGTGTTCGATCCGATCGATTTCGAGGACGACGACGATGCGCCAGCTAACGCGATCGAGTCTGCCAGTCTGACTATCGCTGCCGCAGCTTGAACGAGGTCAGCGCTCGCCACAAACAATTTTCTTACTAGAGAGGTAAGCAAGCCTCGCAACTGGAGCAAGCAGAGCATCATGAGAGACCGATTGAAGCAAAGGCAGAGGCAAAAGGCTACCTACTGCAACCCGGCACTGCAGTCTCGCAGCCGACCCCTTTGAATGATTAGATTTAAACTTTTACAGTTCTGCTTCCGAACAGAGACTTCGCAATCTCTTGTGGACAACCCATACCATATCAAATCTTTATATGACTGTTACCTCGGGAAGCAACCTTTGTGACCATCTCGATCGTACCTTCGGATGGTCATCCTATCGCTCTCGATGGGTCGATGGTTGCAGGAGGAGTCTTTTGCCAGCAATGCTCTGTTGCTTTCGAATGATGCAGTTCGCACTTGTCACGACAAGGTTGCTGACCATTCATTTTTTTTCTTCTGTCCTCGCCTCTGCTTGTAGAACTTTTAATTTTTCGCGTCCACACGGCTTCCAACACAGCATCGTATCAGCCTTCGATCAGTACAAGGTTAGTGTCGCACGTAACCCCATTCACACGCCCACGCCATGGCTGCTTTATCGAAACTCATTTGCCGCAGCAGTGAGCTTTCAGATGATTAAAACTAGTTTATCCATTCTCTGAGGGGGTGGAATGTCTGCCGTAGTCTCAACTCAGCGAGGGTTCAAAGGGACTCTGACGTTCCTTCGGGAGCTGATATGGTCTCGGCCCTCGTTTGAGGCTCCACCTTTCCGATTCCTCCTTTCGAGCTGCGTTGCTGACGGGAGGACGCTAGGCATGTCTAGGCCGCTGTCTCTGCTTTGACTTGGTGTCGATTAACTCGCTTCGGCGGCATGCGAAAGACATCAGGTCAGCGTTTACGGTGTGAAGCCTTCATGCTGTCTCTCCTTGTTGACAACGAAGTGCTGGGATTGCAGGGTCGGCAAGGTGCGTTGCAGCCTCGACCGTCCGTAGATGCATTAATCTTCTCTATGACTTTCCCTTATCAGCGATGTTGTGCCCCGCGCACACTTGCTGGACTCGGCGCAACTCAAGACGTGACGGAACGAGTTGCTAACATCGCTTTCACTCGAACCATTCTTGTCTTTCCAGTAGCTTTCTTGGCTGGTTCAAGCATCTCGCATCTTTCATTGCATCGTCAAAATGTCTACTTTGACTCGTAAGTGTTCCAACGCCAACTTCCCTTTTACGTTCGATACGGATTGCAGTGATCTTTGCTCTCTCTCTCTCTCTCCCCTCGATGACAGAGCGTAGGAGCGAGGACACTCATCCGGGCGTTGATGAACGTATTTCCCATACTCTTTACACCGAGCTGTGAGCCTTCGCAGTGGCGGGGCAGAGATCCCTTGCTCAAAACATGCATCACCAACTGAGCCCTTCACACCAACCCGTACCGAGTTGTCCGAGATAGAAGGAACAGTGTTTGCTGACTAGCCTGCTCCTCTCTTCTGTTCGTTCGATACTGCAGAATATCCCATAATCTTCTGGATAGCATCTACCTATTTTACTTGCCCTGCATTGCATTCTGTATATCACCATATCGCATCTTATTAGCATTTCATTGTATCACGCACTTTCTATTGACAGTTTCACATTGGCTGCGGTTGTATCTATCCTAGCATTCTACTTGTATCGTCTATCGCTTCATCTTTGTTCTGCTTGTTGGCCGATGAGCGTTTGAAAGCCTGAAGAGCTGAAAGCCTGGTTTGGCCTAGCGTAGTATAATCGTGTTGGGCGTAGCGAGCAACGAAGCTACAGTAGCATTTGTATTTAGAAACACAAAATTCAAGACCCGCCAAGTTGAATTCTATTCGAAATAGGCGCGGTTGTGTATATGTGTGTGTGTCTCTTTCGCTCGCTTTCTGAAACACGCACGGACAGAAAGGGTGCGTGCGTGTGGCGTGTGCGTGTTGCGTGTGCGGCGGCGTGTCTTCTTCGAAAGTGACAGCACAAGACAGAGCGAAGAAATCCAAGCGCACACGCCAGCACCAGAGAGCGAAATAGAGCAAAGGCATGTCCTCACCATCATCTCATCAACCTCACTTACTCCTCCTCCTCATCATCCATACCCGGCCTGCAGGACCATCTCGCATCGGCTAATAACGGTTTCTTCCATCTTATTCTATACAACAGCCCCGAGGCTACGACTTATCGCACAGGCTTGCTGCTTCTTCCTATCATTTCACACGTAACAATTCAGCAAAGATGGCATCCAACGGCATTGGCATCGCCAACCTGCCAAACCAGCGTCACAAGATCGTGGCCAAGGCAGGTGGACACTTCACCCTCATGGTCGTTGGTGAGAGCGGTGTAGGAAAGACCACCCTCATCAACACACTCTTCAGCACCGAGCTTGCTACCGGCAAGGATCACTCGCGACGACACACCAAGCAGCTCGACAAGACTGTTGAGATCGACATCATCAAGGCTGAACTCGAGGAGAAACAATTCAAGGTCAAGCTCACCGTCATCGACACTCCTGGTTTCGGTGACTATGTCAATAACCGTGACTCTTGGACTCCCATTGTCGACTTTATCGACGACCAGCACGAGTTGTACATGCGACAGGAGCAGCAGCCTTCGCGACGCGAGAAGACCGACCTCCGTGTTCATGCCTGTCTCTACTTCATCCGTCCCACCGGCCACACCCTCAAACCACTCGACATTGAGACCATGAAGCGTCTCGGTACTCGCGTCAACCTCATCCCCGTTGTTGCCAAAGCCGACACTCTCACACAGGCCGATCTTGCCGTCTTCAAGCAACGCATTCGTGAAGCGATCACAACCCAAGACATCCGCGTCTACTCTCCACCCGTTGAAGCCGACGACGAACCCTCCGCCGACCACGCTAAACTCCTCATGGGTGCTATGCCCTTCTCCATCATCGGTAGCACCGACGACGTCCGTACTCCCGACGGTCGAACTGTCAAAGGTCGTGAATACCTCTGGGGTGTAGCCGAAGTCGAAAATGAAGAACACTGCGATTTTAAGAAACTTCGTTCCCTTCTCATTCGAACACACATGCTCGACCTAATTAACACTACGGAAGAACTTCACTATGAGAATTACCGTCAAGCTCAGATGGAGACGCGCAAGTTCGGTGAACCCAAGGTGAAGAAGTTGGACAACCCCAAGTTCAAGGAAGAGGAAGAAATGTTGCGCAAGAGGTTTACCGAACAGGTCAAGTTGGAAGAGGCTCGGTTCAGACAGTGGGAACAGCATTTGATTGCGGAGAGAGATAGGTTGAACAAAGATTTGGAAACGGCTCATTCCACCGTGAAGGCGTTGGAGGCCGAGTTGGATGCTTTGGCTAATGGGTATGGTAGGGGTTCGCAGCGTCGTTAAACCCCATAGCTCCACTGTGAGGGTCGAGAACTTCTTTATTGAGAGAGATTTTCCTCTTGTATCGTAACTGTCTGAGCACGTCAGGCATCCGCTTGTTGTAATCGAAAACGCTAGGCTCAAAATGTAAACTGTGTGGTTGTGGCATTGCGGATGCGGGAAGATTGCGTGTGATGAAGTACCCTAAGACAATGGTGAACAAGTGGCTACAGAAGACAAGTGACAAGTCCTCAATTCCCATGCAGAGCATAACAGGTATTGCAAGAGGTCACAAGTGCTCACCATTACAAAGCAAGCAGTATCAGGATTTAATAGGACAGTTGCTATGGGTATCCAACACAGTGCAACCAGATATCTTGTTTGCAGTAGGAACCCAGGCACAATATATGTCAACCCCAATTGACAGTGCATGGGATACAGTGATCTGCATACTGAAGTACCTTAACCAGACAAGTGAATACTGCCTGTGATTGGGAGGAAAGTTGAGCAAGCATGTGAGCCAGCCAGTAGTTACATACATCAATGCAAACTGGGTGTTGGATTCTATGAACAGGTATAGAAGCACATCTGGGGCAGTCACATATGTGTATGGATGTCCAGTTAGTTGGAAGTTGCACATGCAGAAGTGTGTGGCATTGTCAGCAGTAGAGGTGGAGTTTGCCACTGCATCCAAAGTGGCATGAGAGGCACTCTTTTTCTTGTATTTGCTCAGGGATTTGGGAATAAAGGATGTTAAGCCATGAGTAGGTATGGACAGCCTGGGCTGCATGCAGGTAAGCAAGAATCCAGCAAAGCACTGGAAGCTCAAGCACATCAACACCAGGTACTACTTTGTTAGGGACCACATGCAAAATGGTGACAAAGTAATTGAATTTGTTGGGACAGTCAGCAATATGGCAGACATCCTCACAAAGCCATTAAAGGGACTGGATATGTCCTGGCTAGCTCAGTTGATAGGACTGGAAATGTCATCAAGGTGGGGAGTTGAAGAAATGTTGGGAAATTTCCAGGGTTTATCCAGAATGCCAACAGGGTGAAGCTCATGAAAGCAAACACTGCTTACTCACAAGCTTTGCCCAGACACATGAAAGGCATGAAGGTTGACATGGCAATGGCTCAGGAGCTCTGCAGGAGAGACACTCAACTCATATAAGGCTGCTCAATGTTCTCAGAGATAAAGTGAAGATACAAACACTCATGTTTATAGCCTTAGTTCACTTGAATATGATAAGCATTTGCAGTTGCTACACACATGTACAAAGAGAGCCAGCCTGATCATGGCCTCAACAAAGTGGTGCATATATTTGAACTGCATCAGCAGCAGGCAGCCTGAGAGTAACCAAAGGAAATAAAATGATGAATTTCAAAAGGACATCTGAATCGGCAACACAGCACATCACACAGCACAGCACAGCGCTCACAGATGGCTTGACCGCACTCAGCCCACAATAATTACGCACCGCACACATCGCACACTCGCTCGCACGCACGCTCACTCTCCGCTCACATCACGCATGGGCCAACGCCTCACTTTCTCGCCTATCTCCGTGCTTTCTTTGAAATAACATTGCTTTGTTCTTCTTTCCCTTTCACCATCCTCACCAAACCTTGTTTGCGCACTCCATCCATCCACCAACAAGCACCGGACAGCGCGGGCATCTCACACACGACCTTGAAGGCATTGTTCGAACCAGCCACGATCTGCGAGTGCCTTCCTCCACATCGCATTCAGGATAGCCTTTCTAGTCTATTCGGTAGTTCCGGTCTCGCTCGGACGATTTCTTTGACCGACCTTTAAACTCGCTGCTCAGACTCGTTGTCACGTCCGGCTCAGCAGCACCATCTCCTCTCGTCACCCTCCCGCACCCGGTGACTAACAGCACTTTGGCAACTCCGACATCCCGTCATTGTCCGGATCCCCTTGAAAGGCACACAGCGCCAGCCCTCACTTTGCTGCTCAGAATTCTCACACCATGTCGCTCCAGAACATCTCAAAATCTGCCGTGCGTGTAGGCAAGAACTACATCAAAGGCTACTCGGATGTCCAGGTCAAGGTTCGAGATGCTACCTCCAACGATCCATGGGGCCCAAGTGGTACTCAGATGAACGAGCTTGCACAGCTCAGTTACAACCAGTACGTCCCTTCTCCCTCCCTGTGCAGTCTCGTAATCTTTCTCGTTCCATACATCTGTGCTGACTTCCTCGATTCGCTTTGTCTTATCCTTCCACATTGCAGAAATGAGTTCATCGAAATGATGGAGATCCTCGACAAGCGTCTCAATGACAAGGGCAAGAACTGGAGACACGTCTTCAAGTCGCTCACTCTTCTCGACTATTTGCTCCATGCCGGCTCTGAAAACGTCGTTATCTACTTCCGAGACAACATTTACATCGTCAAGACCCTCAAAGAGTTCCAGTACATTGACGAGAGCGGCAAGGACCAGGGCGCCAACGTTCGACAGAAGGCCAAGGACATCACCAACCTCCTTCAGGACGAGGCGCGTCTTCGGGATGAGCGTCGATCACGTTCCCACATGCGCGATCGCATGTCCAACGGTCCCACCGACGACGATGATGACGCAAGGAGAAGGCGTGCAGAGCGGGAGAGGAATCGTCGAAGACCTGGCAACAACGAAGACGACGAGCTGCGACGAGCCATCGAAGAGTCCAAGCGCATGGCACAGCAGGAGCAAGATCGCATCCGTGCTGAAGCGAAAGACGAGGAGGAGCTCCAACGTGCCCTTGCACTGTCCAAGAAGGAGGAGGAAGAAAGGATCAAGGCGTTGGAAGAAGCCAACAAGAATGCGCTCTTTGACGACTCGATCAACATGGACGCTCCCAATGCTTATACCCAGAACCAGCAGGTCGACTTCTTTGGCAATCCTCTCGTTGATACCTCGGGCTCCCAGAGCTACGGTGTTCAGCCTCAATACACCTCTTTCAACCCTTACATGCAGATGCAACCCACCAGCTACAACCCTTTCCTTCAAAACCAGCTGCAGCAGCAAGAGCTCATGCAGCAGCAATATATGCAGCAACAACAAGCCGAGTACCAACGTCAGCTTGAGCTCCAGCAAGCAGCTGTGCAATACCAGAATATGATGGCCCAGCAGCCCATCCAGCCACAGCAGACCTCTTTCGGGTCCAACAACCCATGGCTTCAGTCTGGCCAGCAGCAGCCTCAACAACAACAACAGCAGCAACAGCACAATGTTCCCGTCGGTGATCTCTTCTCATCCGCGCCCACGCCTCCTCCAGTGCAAACCACACCACAGCCTCAGCCTCAGCAGTCGCCACAACAGAACCGACCAATCCGAGCCAAGGTCAACGATGACGGCAAATACAACGAGCTCAACCGCTTGCTGGCCATGGGTGACGGTGTAGACACTTTCGGTAACACGGGTGATATGAGGATGGGTCCTAACATTGCGCTTTATAACCAGATGCGTGCTCAAAAGACTGGTATGAACTTCAACGCCAACACTGCTGCTGGAGGGAGCCAACAGCAGCAGCAACCGCAGCAGACTGGAGCTGATAACAATCCTTTTTTCAAGGTCTGAGGCCGAGGTCCACCACATTTTCACTTCTTCTAGCCTCTCCTTTTCTTCTCATTATCTTTATTACCTTTTGTACCCCTTGTGTTCTTGTCCGACTGCAATGTCATCGTTCGAAAAGCTGCATGATTGCGGTCCGCTTGCAAATCGGGGGGTTTTGAAGGCCTGCGATCAATAGCAAAGCCACAAACTCTGACAAACTGAATCTTCACACACTCCGGATCTTCAAGTTGAGACACGAATGACATTGTGGGAAAGTACACGACCGGGCTACAGCGAAATGCAATACAAAGGACGACTCCGCACCACCTACTTCGCCAGCGTATTCGTCTTGTAAGACAAAGAAGTAGGTTTGGTCGGATACCTTCTATGTTCGCTCTCCTGATCAGGATAAGGTACGTTTTCCTTTCCGTACGCCGTCCCCTTTCCATCCGTAGTCCTTGTGTCCGGGAAAGCCACCAAGAAGGCCGCATGAACCGTCCTGATTTCCAATTTCGCGAACCTCATGCCTAAACATACGTGTCTTCCTGCACCCCAGGGAACGAACTCGCCCTCTCCCTTTCCTTCTCCTCTTTCGAATCTGGATGGATCGAACGTGAGAGGGTCAGAGTAGATGTTTGCGTTTCTGTGGGCTGAGCCGAGCCAGAAAGCGATAAATTCACGATCCTGGATGTTATCCTCGCTAATCTTCGTTTCGCCATGGGTAACCTTTGAAGGGGTTTTGAGCTTGCGGCGGAAAACGAGGGAAATCATCAGGATGCGAAGGGTTTCGTCGACGACTGTTTCGTATAATGGTAGGTCTCCTTCCCAGTTTTCAAGTGGGGTGCGTTCGAGTTTTTCTTGAAGAGTAAGAGAGTCGTAGTCTTCACCACGCTCTTCTGCTGCTTTGCGGAACACCCCGTCGAATTCAGCTCGAACTCTATCCCTCAACTCCGGCTGAGCGCAAAGGAAGACAAGCAACCAGGAAGCAACGCCGGTAGTGTTAATTATCGCAGCGAACAATCCTCCCATAATAAAATCTTCAATCGCCTTAGGAGAACAACCTCGATCGATCATTTCTTGAATATAATCCTTCTCTCTCCTTCCCTCTTTCTTTCGAGTTTCCAACGTAGTTCGGATGGCGGTGGACATTTTGATCGCACCGATCCACTTCCTTACCGTGCTCGGAACAGGTAGGAGGGGGAAGTGGGTGGCCATGTAACCAGTGTTATCAGCAAACGACCAAAACGGAGCTTCCATGGCCTTAACCGTATTGATATCCCTCGCATGTTCCGCCATCCCTACGAACAACACGGAAATCTGAAACACAAGAGGATAAATCGTCTGGTGAATATCAATCTCTCCATTACTCGCAGGCATCGCTTTAAACACATCCACAGCTGCTTTCACCATCTCGGGCAGATTACTTTGCAATCGTGCACTGCTCAACGATTGGCGGAGGTTCGAAACGAACCCTTCCGACCCAGCATCTTCAGCAGGAGGCGTTTTAGCTAACCAGGAAGGAAGCTCGGGAATACCAGCAAACATTACCTCATACGCCGTGTTGAAATCTAGGCCCCTATCGTTGAAAAATGTCTTGCCATCTTGGAGCGGATTGTTGGTGATGGTCATGATGTGGCGGCGGGCGTTAACTCGGACCGAGTTTTGCTTGGGAGGATTGATGTTCCATTCTTCAGGATTACCAAAGACGGTGCGAAGGAATGTGTTGCGTTCGGAGTACAACTGGATAGGGCCGAGTGCGGGGAGAGTGGAACGGTAGGGTTTTACGGAGGACGGGCGGTAAAGTGATGAAGGGACTTTGAAGAGGTTCCATGCGAGTAGGGCGAGGAGGATGGCGGAGATGGACCAGAAGGCGGCGGAGTTGATGAGCGAGCCCTCCGTAGAAACGGAGAAGAGGTTTGAGGCCATGGTTGCGAGGTCAAGCCGTTTACGCAGGTTTGTGATGATGGCAGGTCTGAGCTGGTTCGAAGATGAAGGAGGTTCGAGAGAGTTGAGAGGATATATGTGCCGGCTGCGGCGCTTCGTGGAGGCTCCCTCCTTGCAAGCAAGGCGAGTAGGATGAGAATATGATGGACGAAAGGGGGAAGAGTGGGAAGCTGAGTTTAAGAAGCCTGGTCAAGATCGTCTGTTGCACGCCTGGAAAGATGGTCGCCGTTGTCCCTTATACAATTCACGGCAGAGTGCAGCGCTCAGACGTAGAAGCCAAGCTATGCTTCTAGGATGACGCTTCTTGTTAACCGAGATGGCCTCAGCGTCGTCGCATTTCTAAGCGGGCTTTCTAGCGGGAAGCGGAAAAGGAAAAGGCAGCCTCGCTTATAGACGTTGTTCTCTCGAAGCATGAAGCTTGAATTCTTTTTCTGCTGGTTCTTTTGCCATCAAGATTCTCTGCCAGCATAGGAAAGAAACGGAACAGCTCGTCCGCGACAGCGAGCCACGGTGAGACGTGAGCGAGCTGTTGTATTCTCGACGTCGGGTAGCATGGCGAGATCGGATCAGATGCCCAAGGTTATCGCATGATTTTGGCCGGTCTGTGTGTCTATGCAGTGTTGCTCCTTTGGAATCCAGATACCGGGGCTGGTTGAGTGTGCAGCACTCGACATCGTCTTATCAGCATCGACATTCCGGTGCCTCTAAGCACGTCCACTCTTCATCGACATCAAAAGAGTGCTCATCCACAAGCAGCTGTATGACTCCATCTATCTGACAGTATATGCAGCCTGCACCTTGCACAGAACAGCAAGATGAAGCCCTCACCCAATTCAAATTCCCAAGAGCACATTCTCCGCGGCGGACGTGTCAACTCGTGAGGAGTACATTTATGCTTTATGTACCCTATAGCATTACAAAGTTATATACCTCTGGTCGAATGCCCGAGTGGTTATGGGGCTGGCTTCAAGAACTTGAATGATTTCTTGGCCACGTTTATGGCAACACCTCCAGTATATCCTGGGTTCGAATCCCAGTTCGACCAAAAAAACGACTTTTTTGGCCATGTTTTTGGCCACCATGAACGCGGAATACTGAGGGGATCGCCCTTATCAAATTTCGAACAGGATCCATTAGACAATGGCCGAGTCCTTTTGAGATGATGTTTCTTGACATCTGTCAAGCTCCGCCATCCACAACACTGCAAACCTCCTACAAACCAACCCTCCTGGCCTAAAGTAACCATCTTGACCACACTTCGCACAGGCCAATGCAACAGATCTGGGGCTCCAGTGTGTCCCCTCTTTGCCATGCACTACCTCCTTTTGACATTCCTATTTTAGACCTGCCAAACACGATCAAAGCTCAACCTTTTTTGACCTTTCTCTTGGCAACTCACGACTTTAGAGCGACATTGGGGAGCCTGTAAGCAGTCATGCATCAGAAACCAGATGTCATGGGCCTGAATGCTCAAAAAGCAGGAGGGTCACTGGTTCATATGGAAGGAGCACAGGTATTGGAGATCTAGTTGATACCAGTGGTGAGCATGGTCATAGTGCAGTCTCCATGGAGACCATGGACTCCTATGGACTCACATGCAAAGGAGGTCTGGGCCCATATGTGAGGAGGGCCAGGCACAGCCACAAGGAGGACTAAGCTGAAGGAGCAGGCACAGCCATGAAGAGGACCAAGCTCAAGGAGCATGCAGATGGTTACCACTCAGGGGCTTGAGAGACAAGAGTCAAAGGAACTGTCACCAGTCAAAGGAGAAGGAGCAGTGTGTCAGGGGTCTCGCGCCTGAAACCCAGGTCGGTCTGTCGAGATACTTGGTGACTATCAAACTGTGTGACAGCTATTGTCTCAGTATTGGTGACTATCAAGTTGTGCAGTGACAGCAGGTGGTGTTCATTGTATATACTATCATAGGTTTTGGCTGACCTCTGTGGACACTCTGTTCAGGGGTAGCTTGGCACAATCAATATCAATGCTTCGGTTATGATGACACCAAGGTCTGGTGTGAGTGTTGATGATGATGAGGTTGATGACATTGGTGATAAGGTTGGTGTTGATGATAATGAGGTTGATGGTGTTGGTGATAAGGTTGGTGGCGTCAACACGAGTGTCCAGTGTGTTGACTTGATGCTTGAAGTGATCCCCGGACCACAGTGGACTACTGCCTTCGGTTCTATCTTGATCTGGACTGCTAACCTGCTATGGGCGCCTTCGGACATCAGGTAGTGGTGATACAACACACACACTACAATGAGGAGCAACCTTTGATGGATTGCTGCTATGCTGACTGAAACTAATATATACTTATGCTGAAGTGATAACTAGTTATGGTGAGTAGAGTGGATGAGGATCCACTCGACCTATGATGATGAGAAAGCATGGTTATATACCTCTACTCAGCATCGCCAGCGATGCTGCTCCTGCTCTCTCTCTCCAGAGAGTACCTTCTTCATCGAGTACTGCTCAGGGGCCTCTCCTGCTTGGCGCCCCTGTGCCTCTTGAGCTGTGTCGACTCCTTTGACACTGCTCCTCCTCCTCATGACCTGATGTCAACTCCTTCGACACTGCTCCTCCTCCTCATGACCTGTGACAGTTCCTTTGGCTCTTGTCTCTCGAGCCCCTGAGTGGTAACCATCTGCATGCTCCTTGAGCTTGGTCCTCTTCGTGGCTGTGCCTGCTCCTTGAGCTTGGTCCTCCTCGTGGCTGTGCTTGGCCCTCCTTTGCATGTGAGTCCATAGGAGTCCATGGTCTCCATGGAGACTGCACTACGACCATGCTCTCTACTGATCTCGACTAGATCTTTGATACCTGTGCTCCTTCCATATGAACCAGTGACCCTCCTGCTTCTTGAGCATCCAGGCCCATGACATGCTCCTCCTCCTCATGACCTGGTGTCGACTCCTTCGACACTGCTCCTCCTCCTCAGGACCTGCTTGCCGGTGTCCTATACACTGCTCCTTCTCCTTTGACTGGTGACAGTTCCTTTGACTCTTGTCTCTCGAGCCCCTGAGTGGTAACCATCTGCATGCTCCTTGAGCTTGGTCCCCCTCATGGCTGTGCCTGGCCTTCCTCGCATATGGCTCAGTGCTCCTTTGCATGTGAGTCCATAGGAGTCCATGGTCTTCATGGAGACTGCACTACGACCATGCTCTCTACTGGTATCGACTAGCTCTTCGATACCTGTGCTCCTTCCATATGAACCAGTGACCCTCCTGCTTCTTGAGCATCCAGGCCCATGACACTACCCCCCTCTTAAGAGCCGAGCTCCGTCGAGGCATGCTCTGGTCTGGTCCATGCTGACTCCTCCTCCTCCTCCTCGACAACATCCCCAACATCATCCTTCCTCCTTCTCTCAACGTCATCCTCCTTCCTCTTCCTCTCTCTACTCCTCCTGTTCTCTCCTCCTTTCTCTACTTTGTCTACTCACTTGTCCCCCCTCCGACACCTCATACTCCTGGATGAGGTCGGGACAGTTGAGGTTCTCTACTGGTTCCCATGAAGCAGCTTCCTCTGAGTACCCTCTCCACAACACCTTGTACTCTGTAGTCCCATTGTGTGAACGCTTGTCGATGAGTGCTTTGACTTCAAAGTCGAGGTCCTCATCTGGAAGTGATGGTATGGTGGGCTGTTCAGCACGTTGAGGAAGAGAACTTGTTCTTGCTGGCTCAAGCATGGAGACATGGAACACATCATGCACCCTAAGGTTTGCTGGCAATGTGATTCGATAAGCTTGGCATCCTACCCGTTCCTGAACTGGGTAGGGTCCTGCAAACCGGGTATCTAACTTGGGTGTGGGTCTCCATGTCTTCCAGTTTCGACGGTTGATATAGACCATATCACCCACCTTAAACTCGATGTCCTTGTGCTTCCTGTTATACTGGTCTACTGATCTCCGTTGTGCCTCTCTGATCTGCTCCTGGAGGTACTTGCAATGTGTCAGGGGTCTCGCGCCTGAAACCCAGGTCAGTCTGTCGAGATACTCGGTGACTATCAAACTGTGCGACAGCTATTGTCTCGGTATCGGTGACTATCAAGTTGTGCAGTGACAGCGGGTGGCGTTCGTGGTATATACTATCGTAGGTTTCGGCTGACCTCTGTGGACACTCCGTTCAGGGGTAGCTCGGCACGATCGATATCAATGTTATGATGACACCAAGGTCTGGTGTGAGTGTTGATGATGATGAGGTTGATGGTGTTGGTGATGGGATTGGTGATGTCGATGATAATGAGGTTGATGGTGTTGGTGATAAGGTTGGTGGCGTCAACACGAGTGTCCAGTGTGTTGACTTGATGCTTGAAGTGATCCCCGGACCGCAGTGGACTACTGCCTTCGGTTCTATCTATATCCGGACCGCTAACCTGCTAAGGGCGCCTTCGGACGTCAGGTAGTGGTGATACAACACACACACTACGATGAGGAGCAACCTTGATAGATTGCTGCTATGCTGACTGAACTAATGTATACTTATGCTGAAGTGATAACTAGTTATGGTGAGTAGAGTGGATGGGAATCCACTCGACCTATGATGATGAGAAAGCATGGTTATATACCTCTTCACAGCATTGCCAGCGATGCTGCTCCTGCTCTCTCTCCAGAGAGTACCTTCTTCATCGAGTATTGCTCAGGGGCCTCTCCTGCTTAGCACCCCTGTGCCTCTTGTCGACACTGCTCCTCTTCCTTTGATCAATGACAGTTCCTTTGGCTCTTGTCTCTCGAGCCCCTGAATGGTAACCATCTGCATGCTCCTTGAGCTTGGTCCTCTTCGTGGCTTGTGCTTGGCCCTCCTTTGCATGTGAGTCCATAGGAGTCCATGGTCTCCATGGAGATTGCACTACGACCATGCTCTCTACTGGTGTCGACTAGGTCTTCGATACCTGTGCTCTTTCCATATGAACCCATGACCCTCCTGCTTCTTGAGCATCCAGGCCCATGACACAATGCTCCTTTCCATCCATGAGGTACTCGAAGC